AGTAGTCAAAAAATTATGTGATGCACATGTAGGGTTTTTTAGGCAGGGATGTCAGGCAAGACATGGTGAAATTGATTTATTTTACACTGAAGTTCAAAACATCTTTTTATTTATTACTTTACAAAGACAAATTAGAAAAACTGTACAATGTCAGTATCTTTCAAAGTTGTTAACAAAAATCTAGAAATAGAAATTCACGTTTTTATACCCTATATAAAATAAAAGCAAAGAAGATTGCCTTCAATTTAACTTCTAACTTGTGAAAACATTTGGGTATGGCCAGTGTCTTAAGTTTTATAATATTCATTTGTTCTAACTAATTGTGTTGGTGCATTTATGCAAAAATTCCAGAAAACTTTCTTAAGTCAGTAGACTCTTTGATAAACTGCTGGTTCAATTCCAAAATATTTTTTATTTTTTAGAAATTTTTAAAGGAAATATGCACTCACCACTTTTAATACTGGTTGCCCCTATACACCAACCAACAAAGAACAATATCCTGGCTTATGACATTTAAACACAGTATAATTTACAGTACAAGAAAATTACAAATTACTGGAGGATATTTGATGAAATTTTAAGACAAATTGCATAATTATTAAATGGCCCTCAAAAATGGAAAAAAAAAAATGTCATCTACTATGAAAACAATAATCTACTTAAAAATATCCCATCTTGCTTCTGAAATTATTTAAAAACATCTGCTGTAAATACTAATTTTGTTCTGATGGAAAGCATTTGATTTGACAGGGATTTCTACATTAATTATCCTTACAGAAACATGTTCTGAACTTGTCCTAGAGACTTCTGAATGTAAAGTAAAACCACCATATAGTTTTCTAGTCAGCAGAATTTTCAATCCATGATAGCACCAGATCAGTTTTGTATCTCTAAATTTAGGCACACAATCTGATTATGTAAGATGGTAAAGGCAGATTGAGCCTTTGAAAACACAGACCCAGCTAATAAACATGCAAACAACTTTGGTACCCAACCAGGCCACCTCAGAATCATTACTAAATGTCAATATTCATTTTTTTTCATACAATTTTACACTAGTTTACTTTCATGGCTTGACTTTAATTTTAGTGGTAATCACTACATGGCCATGCTCACAACCCCATCAGGATCTGCAGTAACTGGTACATGTAGCAGTTACTTGAGTGTCACTAATGGGAGGAGTTTGTCTAAATGTACAAATCAGTACAAAATGAAAGAAGTCTCTAAAAACCAACCTCCCTGTCAAACTGAGAACAGTAATATTGGCTTGTACAAAGTAGTCTGAGTTTACCCAAGATCTCTTTCTCTCTGCCTCTGTTGACATAATTTAATACAAAAATACAACAATTTAATACAAAAATGAACACACAGTGACTACATTTTTCTGAGTAAAATTCACAAATTTAGAGTAACCTCATCACTGCCTTTATGAAGGACAGATGGAAAGTAGATTGCTTCCATCAGCCCAAGCCAAGCAGCTTCCAGTGAGAGAAGCTTAGAACCTGTACCTGGCTTTAGATCACAAAGTTGTGAGCCAGGAAAAAAGCAAACATATCAGAGTATAATTCCCATTTCCATTCATACATAAACTAAAAGTTCATAAAAACAGGTTAAATTCCTAAGATAGGAACAACAATTTTTTATTTTTTTTTTTAAATACAATCTCTGATCCCAGCCCCCCCCAGAAACTGATTCTTACTGGATTACTTCCAATTAGCAACACATGACTATACAACATCTTCAGCAACTGTAGTGTCAAAAATTTGGTAATAAACTTGATTTTTCATTGCGTCTCTGACATTATAGGACCTGATGAAGCACTCCAGCCACGGCAAGTCACCTACCAACAAAATCCAAATTACTGTTCAATATTCATTTCTAATTTTTATAACATGCAAGTATAACTTGAGCAAGATCTTAACTAGGATATCTAAATTTTTACAATAGTTAATAATAAGAAAAATGAATTGTTAACTTTGAAATTCCAACTGGTATCTTTTAAATTTCCCACAAGATCTGAAATGGTGCTCAGTGACAGCCTTCCAAGACTTGTACTCCCTGCACCAGCATTCCACAGAACACTTGGACCCAGCAGTCATGCCACAGTATAAAATACATATATGTAAAGGCTTTCCAATAATAAAAATTCATCTCCATGCGTCTCAATGAGACAATTTCATTGGTCTCAAAGGGAAAATCCTTTACAACCTTTATTACAGGACAACTTTTTGTAAGTATGGCAAAGACTCCAGGGTGATTGCAGTGGTCACTGACAGCCATGTACCCGGAGTATGCTCTGGAGATCAGAGCTGCATATTACACACCCATCTACCTTGGACATGTGTAGTTCAGGCAGAGCTACTTCCTTTCACAACACATACACCGCACAAAAAACTCTGCAAATGGATTTGGATTAAGCATTTGCTCAATTTCCATGGATACTTCCCATGGCAAGGGATGTTCCAAGGCAGCATGTGCAATCAAAAGCAGGGTATCACCCAAAGCATGTGCCATACGCTGAATTTCCTTTCTGTTTTCCCTAACGTGCTGTGACATTCAGTATTGAGGGTGTTCTGGTTAACTTTCATATGACTACAGATGGCAGGTTAGTGCCTGCACAGGCATGACTCTATTCACACACCACTGCATGCTACATGAGAATTTACTGAACCATTTCTTTCCTTTCTCAAAGGCAGAGTTAATATGAAAGACATGTTTCAGAACAAATTAATATGAACTCTGCTTTCAGGCTCCAGCATTTTTCAGCTTCCAGTGTAAGCTGAATTCTAAGACTATGCATATGCAATAGCAGATTGAAAGACCCCTTCCCACCCCCTTTTGAAAAAACAGCAAGCTGACCTAGTTTTCTTCCTGGAGGGCAGAGTGTATCCATGGTCATCTGCATCTTTTGCTGAAGAAAATTACTAGTTAAGATTTCAGAGGCAGGAATTTGGAAAAACTTCTCCTGAAAGAGAACAGAAGAATACGAAGTGTTGAAAGAGGGGTAAGAAATCATTAGCCAGAACCTTGATTGCATGTTCTTTTAGGAAGTTAAAATCAGGTAACACAACAGAAGAATTGTATTATTTCAAAAAACTGTCCAGATACAGAAAAAACCCAAACTGTCTGAAAAAAATGATCGGTCTATTTTTCAGTTCCCTGAGTACTTAGGGACTACAGCCACCCAGAAAGCACACGTCGGTCACTGTACGTAACTGGCAGATATTCCTCATGAAACTCCATAACCAGACATTATCAGACAATGTTATGGCCAGAGAGGATCAGCCCCCTCAACAGGCCCTCACATCTTGAGAGGAACAAGATCCCTTTAAAACAAGGGGCACTGCAGCCTGGCTTTGTATCTGTGGAACTCTCTTAGCGCGAGTTTCATTTTTAGAAATTCAGGCAGTTTTAGAAACTACAGAAAAATGCTTATACTGTGGGGTACACTTCTGAATATACTGAGACTAACCAGAAGTGCACTTTCTGAGACATAAAATAATAAATGGAACTCTGAAATGTTAAACATTTTCTGTGTATTATTAAACCACATACAGTAAGTACAAAAAAACTCCAAGTTTATTCTTTCCAAGCTTGTTACCTGATTTTGGATCCCTAAAGGCTCATAATTTTATAACTTCTCAGAGTGAGCTTAAGATTTGTGGTAGTAATTTCTCATTTTTGTTAAAAGATACAGCTACAGAATAATCTGCCTCTGTATAATTTTTGTATGACATGTTTAATGGCAATGATCAGAAGATAGGGGATAATCCAGCAGCAGGAATGACACAGATAACTTTCTCGTCTCTCTCTTCAGTCTTCTTCTGACTACAGAACATTTTAGTTTTTTGCCTTCACTGACTTTTCCTGTAAGGAGGGAAGGAAAGAGAAGCACTGTGCTCCTATGGAAGTGCAACTGGAGGCTAATGTAAAACTGCACTTCAAAGCAGCCCAGCTCCTTCTCAGGTGGTGCTGAAGGACTGGAGTTTAGGCTTGGAAACTCTTGGCTTGTCTTTGAAGTACCACCAGCAGGAAGGTGAACAGCTGGCACTTCAGAAGAAACTGTGGGTATTTTCCTGCAGCTAAACTGTAGTACTGAGCAGTATCTGATAAAAAAATGAGCCACCATGAAGTAAAAATTTTTGGAACTCTGCATCAAGAGATGTCCCCCACCCTCCTTTTACAGTTTAGTTTCTTGATATAAAAAGAAAAAAGAATAGTAGAAGGAAAAGATGACTGGCTGAAATGGAGATTTTAGTCTTAGATCTCCATTGCTGTTAAAACACCATGTATTTTAAGAAAAAACACACTTTTTTCTGATATTATTTTTACTTACAGTCTTAAAATTAAACAAGGAAGAGCATTCTCTTTAAAGTCCCATTCAAAGTAATTCAATATAATAACAGAAAATGTGCAGATATATACACATTAAGCAACACTGCTGTGCACAAAAGAAATTTCACTAAATTCTTTTCCTGTCCCATTTTGTCACACCCACACTGCTGTGACAGGAAAGTCATCCAATCTTCAGTGTCTCAGGTAGCAGGAATGGTCTTAAGTTGCTTCAGAGAAAACTGAAGGTAGGTTAATTCTAAGGTTAGTGAAGTAGTTGAATAAATTGCTTCTGAAATCCAAGAGAAATATCTGCACAGATACAGCTGTCCAGGGAAAGAGGGCCTCCTTACCTCATGCTCATGTGAAACAAAAAAATCAAGCATTACTGAAAGGAGAGATTCTATTAAGAGTTAAAAAAAGAGGTAATGAGATTTTAAGCTGATGCAGAAGTTAACTGCATAAATCCTGAAACATTCCTATCATTCACACAGCATTCAGGCTGCATAATTTAACATTGCCAATAAAAGAGAAATTCAGCTATAGGAATATATAAGTTTATGGAAATATCAAATAATCTTCAAGCTGCAATTTTGTCTTTATGCTTTAATATTCCATACTCTGTACAGTATTAATAATAACCTTATAGCATTGCAATTGTTCCCACGAAACACTGCAGGTAACATAGAATGAATATTTGTGGACATACATTTGCCATTTTAAAAACAAATATAATCCAAACTCACACCATCTGTAGAGTCTACTTTTACCTAGATTTACTTACATAATCAAAAAGGTATGCATTTAGTGCTCCTGTTTCATCAACCAGTGTAAACTTCATAATAAAAACATACTGGAGCAGTTCAATACCTAAAACTGAAGGAAAGAAAAATTGGTATTTCTCTGAGAGAATATGCAATCTTTTAATAGCAACTCTTTTAATAGGAACTGACTTTGAATATTGTCATTACAAGTATTAAAGACCAAAATAGAGAGACTGTGATGTCTGACAGCAAAATATCATTTATCTCTTGAGACCACATTGCAATTTTCCTAGAAACACCTTAATAGATGAGCCTATAAAAACACAAAGATTCTTAAGTACTTATTCCCATGCTAGTAAACAAAAAGCTAGTATTTGCTTAGATTATAGATCCCACCGTAGTAGGATCCTCCTAGTCTTGTGTTCTTTTATCCATGGAAGATTAAAGGAGAGGTGCTCTTAATTCAGTGGTAATACAAATTCCACCTGAAAACTATTTTCTGAGGAAAAACAGTTTATTTGGTATGATGTAGTAAAAGCTACCAGGCTTGTTCAGGAAAAAAAAAAAACTTTGCTGGCAGTTCTGAAAGTATTTCAGTGTAGGTAAAAGACTACAGTCACCACATCACTGGCAGCAGTAACTGTTATGCTGCAAACATAAAATAACTGAAACAGTCAAAGTTAGTACAGCTCAGCATCAGTCTTTTCCAGGTACAATTACTTAAATTGGTAGTCATTTTATGTTCAACTGATCTGATATACTTGCAGGTTTATACTTTAGCCTGAAAATACAGCTGATAGAAGAATGATACACATAACACAGTGTAACTCTCAGAAAGTATGAATTAATATTGTTTTCACTTTGAGAACTAAATGTCTGGCAGTTATATATTATAATAAAATCACTGGCAGTTATATATTACTTTACAATTATTTAATAGGATACAATTATGAAAGTTTATTTAAGAAAATCACTGTATTGCTCAAATAGTTTTCTTCTTTTAGAAAGTGTTTATCAAACATATATTGCTAGATATCCCAATTTAATATTTTAGAACATGAATTGATAAACATGCAAATATTCTTTTTCCTTAATGTGTTGTAAAGTTTTAAACTCAATTTCCATCATTGTAACATGTTGACTTCATATAGCAACACAAGGAACACATGAAGCACAGAACTCAAGTAATTGTTGTGGTATCACTCCTTTAATTTATTTCTTGTAGACTCTCTGGAAAATGAAGTTTACAGAAGAAAAAAGTCTAACTTGTATGAGTCATTAAATAAGACTGTCTTTAGTTCAGGTCAGAAAAACAGTATCTACAAAAGGAAAAGCAAGATTAAGTTCTAGGACTGCAAGTTTAAAAGTAACATCTAGAAAATTCAATTAAAAAAAATTCATGACCCCTGTATCATCATAAGCGTTACTACTTATGCCAATGGTAGAAGAAACTAGTCAGCATATAAAATCCTTTAATTCATACTGCAATAGTTTCAAAAGTAAGTATGTTATTTTGATTGGTAAAAGGTGAATGAATTTTACAGGACCATATTCAACACAACCATAACTACATGCTTTCTGTGCAAAACTGCAACCCAGAACTGCGAGTCAAACTATTTCACATTGACCCTTCAGAACCAAGGCACAAAAGTATTTCAGGACAGTATCATGTTAGCTGACCTTGTGCAATTTCAGTTGGTTCCCATGATGGTTGCTGTTCTGCTGCAATGGAACTTAGATTCTTCATAGGCTTTGGAGTTGAACACTGCTTGCACCTAGCATTTAACACAACATATTGAGACTAACCAAACACTGATGTATTTGTACTAGAATTATTCTGCACAGAAAAAAACCCCAAAACTCTTGATTTTCTTACACAGTGAAGTGCAAAAGTATTTATATTGCTGCTTGAAGTAACTACTTCACCAGACACACCAGCTTTGGAGCGAAACAAAAACCCTTAATGCTTTTTTTTTTGAACTATCCATGAGGAGAAATAAACCTAGAAAAGACCACGTCAGTAATTAGACAGGAATAAAACTGTACATCAAAGCTGAAGAGCTGGGGTTGTTCAGCCTTGAAAACAGAGGGTCCAGGCAGACCCTACTGTGGCCTCTCTTATATATAAAAGGGAGGAAAGTGAGAGAAGACAGAGACAAGACTCTTTTCTATAAGAAAGACAGAGACAGACTTTTAACCAGGGCCTGTAGTGAAGAACAAGGAAAAACATTTTTAAACTGAGAGAGGGTAGATGTAGATTTTGCAGAAAGAAGAAACACTTCACAAAGAAGTTGAGGCACTGGAACAGGTTGTCCAGAAACACTATGGATTCCCTGTACCTGGAAGTGTTCAAGACGAGACTGGTGTAGTGCAAGGTGTCTGTGCCCAAGGCAGGGAGTTGGATTAGCTGATCATGAGAGGTCCCTTTCAACCCAAACCATTCTATGATTCTAAGATCACTACATTACTAAACATATGCTCATATGCCACTACTTCCCAATTTGTAAAAGCAGACATTAATCTAAACTTGTAGCATGCTCTAAACCCATTACAGAGTTACAGGAGAAATGTGGCTTTGCCTATGCTGAGAATATTAACTAAGAGTTGTTAAAAAAGTCTATTTTATTACTGGTGTATTTTCACCAAGTATTATAAATTTTACACGTAACATATTAAGCAAATGCTACAAGTGGATTGAAGTATTGAACTGTTTTCAAAGTTGCTCCCATTTGCCTCAAGGAATGAAATTACAGAACAAAACTAGTTGTTCCAAATTAAGTTGCTGTGTTAGTATACTACTGTTAGAATTTGAAATAAACATCTATTATAGTTTAAAATTATATGTAAAGCATGTCAAATCAATAAAACTACTTCTGCTTAAGTGATATAGTCAAGTCACTTTTTTCCTTTAAAAAACTCAAACTCCAATAAAATAACAACTGCAAATTTTGCTTTTTATATGCAGTGTGTCTGTGTTTTATATATAAATGAATATGCACGCAAATGCATACACATAGAATTCATTCTACCAAACAGAATCTTTTCTTAGCAAAGTATATGCCACTAATAGAAACATGAATGAAACATAGCTCTGAAATGTCAGCATACTTTTGAGATTCTTTCCTAAATATCCTATAAGCAACCATCGAATACCTTATAAACCATTTTACTTTTACAGTTCAACCATTTGAAGAGTGAACGATGTCTGACGGTGAGTGGCATGTAGCAGGGGAAATATACGGATTATGAAAGTGCAAGCAGAAATACTTTGTAACAGTGAAGATCCTGTCCCAGTAGGAGTATCCATATACTACCTTTATTTAAAAAAAGCTGTAGAGAGCAATATCTGGAAAGGTCAAAACTATATATGACAGAGAGAAACAATTACCTGTATTAATTTCATGGACGGCCCTTACGTACAGTGAAACTTTACGGTTCACTTGAAACATGGAATATTTCTGCATAGAAAATTTTTGACTGCCTGGAGACCTAGCATAGTGCCCCACTGCACTGTGCTCTGCCTGAGGTGCTGAGAGAGAGGACTCAGCTTGCATGGGGGAGGTTGGTATTTCTGAGCTCAGTAGCTGTATGCTGCTGGGCATTACTGGGGGAACACACTGCTGACAGCTCCCACTGAGCAGGAACATGGCACTGCATGGCAGATCACAAATTCCAGACCTAGGTGTGGTTACTGTGTTCCACAGCTTTGGAACTGTGGAATTCAGAAACCCGGTGAAGTCATCTCTACAGTGAATGACATCCACAAAGAGGTAAGGCACTTTGCAGTGCTGTGGATCATCATAAGTTACAAATGGTAACGAAAAGCTGTCCAAAATCCCTTACTGCTTCCAAAACTTAAGCTTTCCCAACACTAAGAATGAGCCATATATTGACTGGCTGATGATTATCTTCTGTATCTCTATTTAAATATTATCTGTTATATTGTATATATCTGCATCTAAAACCCCTCAGCATACAGTTTCGAAAACAAGGTATGTTTTGACTTTAGTCAAAGTGAGACCAGAAAATGGAAGATCTGGACTAGAAGAGGTATTTCAGTACTTTGCACAGCATGTGCATTTCCATTTCTACAGCCCACTGCTCTGCCCAGGCACCACAGACAAGACTGGAACTGGAGTGCTGTGTAATTAAGGTCTTAAGATTTGCAGATCAAGAGCCAAACTGCAGTCAGTCCTTTGATACCAGGTATCAAATGATACCACATTTCATCCCCAATGTCAGTACTGTAGATCATGCAATATATTTTACATCAAAGTCTTCCCTTCAAGTACTGCAGTCTGAATTACTGAAGAAAATGCTATCTATTACAGCAACTAATGAAATATCAACAAATACTTTTAACCTACCCATAATATTTTACATTCCTTTGTAGAAGAAAAGGAGCTGAAAGATCTAATAATTCAAGATCATCTTCTGTGGATCTCACAGGAATAACACACTTAAATCTTTTTGAAAGCTTCCAGATTTCTTTCAGAGTTCCACCTATTAAAAACCAAATAACCATGGTTTCTTAAACAGTAGTCAGAAATAAACTGAACAACTTACATTTCTCAACTGATTTCAGGGACTTCAATAATAATTGATATCACTACTGAAAACTCAAAAAATAGCCTAATACCTTCTCACTTTTACTCAACAACAGATTTGATTAAGAAACAAAAATAGACATTTATCAAAGCAGATGCCTTAATAATTTCCTCATAGCTAACACTGCAATGAAGAGGTTGTATTTAATTAACATCACTTTCATATAATTACTCCGATGATCTTACTAGCCATTTTCTTAGAAAAAAATCAAAGCAACCAAACTGACCTTTTATATGCACATATCCATACACAGACATACTTAGTTGCTGACACTTTAATATCTGAAAATAGATTTACCGAGTTATATTGCTCAGCTGTTCTAGGAAAATGGAGAAGAAATAGATTCTTTTTTTTTTCCCTAAGAAAAGTTAGATTGAAGTCAGTTGGGAACACATCAGAAATAAAGCAGCTATCAGAAATAATCCATTATAAAAGAAAGCAGAAAACAGAAGGGGTTTTGTCATTGACCCTCACACAAAGGACCACCTGACTTACATTCATTTATTCACATCACTACTTGAGCACAATTGAAGATTTTGTTTTGAACTCTGAATGGTGCTATATGCAATTTATTATTTTTATTATATAAAAATTCCTTAATAGTACTCTTGATAAATTGCTTTGTTTAATGGTCAGTGGCTATTTCTCTTTCCTGAGAAAATCTGATAAAAACCACACCAAACCAAAAAAACTCACACTGAGAGAAGCTCTACTAATCTGAAACAACACTGACATCCAGAGGCTGACAAATTTAACTGGAAGCTTGTATTATGAGAAGCCTTTCAAAACTTTCCACATCACTACTAAAAACAGGCCTGTTTAGAAGACTTGCCAAGGTTTTAAATCGGAACTGTAAAACCAGTAAGCACAGCTAGAATAAAAAAGACATTCAGCTGTTAATTTCAGCATAATCAACAATAAACAACATTGGCATAGTTTTAAAATAGACTGAATCATCTTACAAGACCTTCACAGGTCTTGTCTGTGAACCTGTTTCCTGTGAACATGAACCATCTCCTGTTTGCACAAAAGCAACTTATAGTTCCATCTCAGTTCTTCTTTTCTTTGAACATGCCTTTATGATCATCACTACTTACACTGAATACAACTTCAACATATCTTTACTCTGTACATACACAGAGGGGACACAGTTCTGTAAGAACTGGTATATTTGCAATTTACCTTCTATCATAAGCAAGGTGTCTTCAGGATGTTGAAGCATTTCATCATGCTTCACAAAATGGATGGCTATTTCCCTCTGCTTCTGGTCTTGTGTAGTCCATGTTACAGATTCATACCAGGATGTACTGTGTAATTCTGGGTTTGGGGCAGTACTGGCAGAGCCACGTAAAATGGAGTCAAAGTCATCTCTATCTGGAACTTCTTGCCTAAAACCATTTCCAAATTGAGTAAATATATTATAACAGCTTCTCCTTAGATGATCTACCCACAAGGATGACAGTACTCCAAACAAATATTAGAATACAGTCATGAGAGTTAATGTACGTACAGGAAAAACATCCTAATTGTTTTATCAGTTTAAACATTTAGAGTTACATAGTATATCATGGCTTTCCATGTTAATAAATATGCTAAGTAATATGCCAACTTACCTAGGAGCAGAGGCAGCCTAGTGGCCACACACCACACTAATGAAAATCCGTGGAAAGCCAAATCTATCAGCTTTATGTTATTTCAGTTGGGCCTTAAAAGGGCCACAAAATGCATACTGCTTCACTAGAGTGAAAAGACTGCATCAACTTACATAATTTCATATTTTAGTCTGTTTGACTTTGCATAAACTGACAGAGGAAAAAGAAAAAAAGGACAGGATCAGAATAGTTCCACGTAATTACTGCCAAGTGAAAATCTACAACTCTGCACCACGCAGTTTCTATCCTGTCCTGCTGGAATGCACCCTTTGTGCACTTCCACTTGTCATACACAGAGAAGCAATAATGCAGGCCACCCAAATAACATACATATTATGGAATTGGTTAGGTTATAAAAGGTCTCTGAGAGTGTCCAAAGCAGGGCAATGAAGATGGTGAAGGGCCTTAAGGGGAAGCCATATGAGGAGCAGCTGAGGTCACCTGGTCTGTTCAGAATGAAGGAGACCCCACTGTAGTTACAATTTCCTCTTGAGGGGAAGAGGAGTGGCAGGCATTGATCTCTTCTTTGTGGTGACCAGTGACAGGACCCACGGGAATGGCCTGAAGTTGTGTGATTTCCCTGATATTTTTGGATCCAGAAAAGATGCTTTGTCTGGAAGATGCACTTTAGTCAAAAATATTTTATCAATTCATTTAGAGACTATTACACCTCTTTGAATATCCTATTTTAAAGCTTCAATAAAGAAATACTTGAGATACTTCTATACAGCTATGATATGGAAAAAAACTGTACTGCTGCATTTGCAAATTAAGAAAACATTGTTTTGAAAGCACTCACAAGATTCTGTAAATTGAACTCATCTGATGATTTAAAAAAATCCTACTTATTATCAGTGCATTTCAAATCTTTCCACAAAATTTTATACATTTAAATTCAGCTCATCTTACACAAAAAAAATTCACTGAAAATCTAGGCATCCCAAAACATACAGAGTAATTCCTAGTTACTTGTAATGTGTGAAACACTTACAAAGAGTTGCATTTGGAACAATGAAGTTTAACAGACTGATGGAGCTTTTGGGGTTTATAAGTTCTCAGCTTTGCTCTAATGCGATACTGTTGAGGTGCTGTGCTGTTTGTTATGGTTTTCAGTTCTGTGTTACTCAAATCCTGATGATCTGTTAATACTGCAAAACAATACACAGAGAGATGAAAAAGCACCATGCATACTATTAATCAATGAAATATTTGTAATACTGGAAATAGCAGTCACAGTTATGCATTTTTCCTTAATTTCCAGCTTTTCTTGCCTTTCCAGCTGCAGCCTTAATTTTATCAACACAATTTGTTATTACAGTCAGTCAGATAAATCACATTAGGCTGAGGGAGTAGGGTGTACAGGGTACAGAAACACAACATGTAGAAAAACCAAATGAAAGAAGAATATACAAATATGATCTATTCTTTTAAAATAAACCAAATACAACACACGTGGAATTTATACTCTCAGAATAGCTCTTCCTACAACCTTATAATAACCTTTATGTATAACCATATATGGATAACCATTTAACTATAACCATATATCCTATAATAAACTTTAAGGTAATGTTTTAAAACTACTTTTGTTCTCTAGCAAAATTAAAATTCACCTTAAGGTCAAAATGTTACCTACCTGTAACAGATAGCTGCTGACATCTCTGTAAGTGCAATTCAAGATCTATAATCAAGAAGAATTTCATAATTATTTTCTGCCATTCTTTTCTTTTTTATCATGCAGACACATAGAAACAGGTAGGTAGATAAAGAGGTAGATACACACACAAAACCAAAAGCTGAACAAATGAAAATGAAAATCCCAATAATGTATGAAAACAATACAACAACAAACCCAAAAAAAAGTAGCAAAAGTAAGCTGGAGACACACACTGAATATCAAGAGTTAATATAATAGAGGGGTAGTTAGCATATACATTAAATAGGAATATTTATTAAAGTGAACACTTTTCAGAAGTATACTGTGAATGATTTGCTGACATAAATTGTATGCATCCCCTGTAATCTTTCTGGACATTAACATAAATACATTATTCTAATACCAATACAGACTGCCTGGTCCCTTTAAACAACCTCTACTACACACAGAGTGCAGCAAATAAGTGCAAAATTTTTCAGGTATGGACTGGACATGAAGCATTTATTTATGCTTGACTTTTGCATCCTTTTAGAAATGCCTTATGTTTCTATGTTAATAATGGCTGAGTAACAGATTTTTTAAAAGCTAGAAGCAAAGATACAGACTACGTCCAACCAGCTTTAGAGTTTAATTCCCTTTTAGTTATTCTTATCCTGGGTTAAAAGTACCATTCAGAAAATAATATGGGGTCTGTAGAACTGTATATAAGATATCACTGTTCTGTGGAAGTGCACCTTACATACACCTCACACAACTTTTCATCCAATGGCTTAAGAAGGGCTCCTCAACAGGCAGCTGTTTAGTAGCATTTTCAGTGCCTGTCCCTGCAGAATCCCCCTTTAGAGGGAGCAACTTGCATAACTCTGCTTTGTGATCTAATACAGTATGATTAAGAACACGATCTGTGTTTAAGAATTTATTCACTAACTCCTATGAAAGTATCTTTCCATGTAATATGAAATGCTTGTGCTGGAAGACAGAAAGAGTAATGTAAATTTCCAGTCTAATAAACTGAAGGAATTCTCTAAGGCTTTGAATGTGAAAGTAGCATTACACACACAGAAAAAGCAGTAACTGTGACCTTATCTCGACCATATATAAATAAGAAGAAAGTGCACATCAGCTTTCAGTTGCTCTTACCTGTAACATTGCCAAAAGTGCTATCCATGTCCATTGAACACATGCTTTCCATATCCTGACTCTCTGTCAGTTCCACAGATTCTAAAAATCTAAAGATAAATGGCTAAATATTTTATAAACTAGAGAAATTTTTTTTATATATTGTCATTCACATACACACATATAAATATATATGGGACTACACAGACACTTACAAGAAACATATTTATTGTCAATACACAGGTATAGTGTTCAGACATAAATATTCCAGCAGAGACATAAAAATCAACCGAGCCAGAAGTTTCAGAAGGTTATATTAATGATGCAGATGAGACACTTTCCAAATCACTTCTGGAACATTAAACACAAAAGAGTGCCAAAAGAAGTATGTACTTCTGCAAACATAATTCCTGATAATGGAATATGGACTTTGGTTACTTAGCCTTTCCTAAGGAAGAAAAAAAGTTTATAACTTTCGGAAGAAGTGGCAGATCACTCAGGAGGATTACACGGATATTACACAGGCAGAAAATTAGAAGTGCAAAATCTGACTAGAACTTAATATGACTACTGCTGTATGAGAACAAAAATAGCTTCTCCAAATGTATCATCCACTAAAGGAGGGCTAAGGAAAATCTCCATCCTTTAATGGATGTTGCGGGAAACAACAAGTGACAAAGGATGAGGAAAAGGCCAATGTACTTCATGCCTTCTTTACTTCCATTGTAATAGTAAGAACAATTATTCTTGGAGCATCCAGACTCCTGACCTGAGAGAAGGATGGGGAGCAAAATGAAACCTCCATAACCTAAGAGGAAATAGTTACTGACCTGCTACACCACTTAAACACACACATATGTTTAATGGGTGGCTGGGATCTACCCACAGATACTGAGGGGGATGGAAGAAGTGCTCAAAAATCCACTTTCTATCATTTACCAGCAGTCCTGGGTAAGCAAGGAGGTTTCAGTAGATTGAAAATTAAAGCAGATGGTTATCTACAAGAAGGGTCAGAGGGAGGATCCAGGGAACTACGGGCCTGTAGTTCTACAATAGGAACTACTGAGCCCGAGCTCAGTGCTGGAGGTCATGGAGCAGATCACTCTCTGTATGTTGTCATCATGTAGCACATGAAGGATACCCAGGGGATCAGACACAGCCAGCATGGGTTTATGAGACATGTCCTGCTTGACCAACCTCATTGCCTCTTATGAAAAATTGACCTGCTTAGTGGATGAGGAAACAGCTGTGGATGTAGTTTACCCGGACCTTAGTAAAGCCTTTGACAGTGTTTCCCATAGCATTCTCACAGAGCAACTGGGTGTCATAGCTGGGATGGGTGCATATTTGCTGGGTAAAAAACTGGCCAGGCCCAGAGAGTAGTGGTGAATGAAGTTACCTCCAGCTGGTGGCCACTCACAAATGGTGCTCCCCAGGGGTCAGTACAGGGGCCTGTTTAGTATCTCTACCAATCTCAGGTGACTGAGGGCATGGCACCCTCAGTCAGTTTGCAGATGATCTCAAGCTGAGCAGGAGTGTTGATCTGTTGGAGTGCAGGAAGGCTCAGCAGAGGACTCTGGACAGGCTGGACTGATGGCCAAGGCCAAGTGCATGAGGTTCAACAAGGTGAACTGCACTTGGGTCACAACAAGTCCATGCAGTGCTACAGGCTGGGGCAGAGTGGCTGGAAAGAGGCGCAGCAGAAAAGGACCTGGTGAAGGAGCTAGAGCACAAGTCCTGTGAGGAGCAGCTGAGGGAGCTGGGATGCTTTAGCTTGGAGGTGAGGAAGGCCAGGGGGGACCTTATCACTTATGTCTACAATAAGAGCGTGACAGGAGGTTGTATTGAGGTGGGGTCAGCCTCTTCTCCCACTCAACAAGTGACAGAAGGAGAGGAAATGGCTTCAAGTTGTGCCTGGGGAGGTTTACATCAGGTATTAAGAAAAATTTCTTCATGGAAAGGGTTGACAAGAACTGAAAAAAGCAGCTCAGGAAAAATGGTGGAGTCATTGTCCCTGGAGGTATTTTAAAATCATGTATATGTGGCACTTAGAGACATGGTTTAGTGGGGGACTTACCTATCCCTCCAAATATGCTCATCTTAGTGGTGCTAAAGACATATTCTGTTCTCAAGCTTCTGATTCTTAGATACATTTACAATTTTAAACTCTATAGCTGTTACATGAGCCTAGAGTTTTGAAGAGTGACCTAGAGAAAAGGATATATCTACACATACATAGTACTTACGCTTTTAGTTCCTTAACATCTGGGTTACTTTCTGGCAAGACTCCTATTCCTCGACCATAACAAGTGCCACCATGAAGATGAAATTCTATATGAGAGACATCTTCATTTTCAGCACTTGCTTGTTTCGTATGAATACTGTAAATTCTCAGAAAACATCCAATCTGAAAGGAAAAAAAAAAACAACCACTTTGATAACACAAAGTTAGTTACTTACGTGGAAGATTCTAGTGCTCATGAAGCCTCATCCCTGTTTTAACTGAACACAGAACGGCTGAAGCTGGCAGGGACCTCTGGCGATTACCTCGTTCTTGTGCCCAAAGCAGAGTCAACTAGAGCAGACTTCTTAGGACTGTTTCCAGATGGGTTTTAAGTATTTTCAGGTACGAAAACTGTAAAACCTCTCTGTGTGATCTGTTTATTTTGCTTTATCAGAAAACATTACTGGCAGCAAAGGCTGATTCAGAACCAGAATAAGCCTTCTTGGTAAATCTAATTCTCAAACACACTTCAGAAGACAGATCAAACACTCCTTTCACAAGGGCACAATCTGCCTTCTATATTCCCAACACAGCCCCACAGAGACTGACATCCTGTGATTTGGTTTAGGAATGATCACATTCAGCAATTGATCTGCTCATCATCGTGCATGGCTTACTATGTTTACATGTATATGTACATACCTGCTTACTCAGATTTCTCCATCGTATCTTACTCTTACACATTACAGATAACATTTTTTTAGCACCAGAACAAAAGACAACATGCATTAGAAACGGAAAGATTTTGGCACTTCTCCTATCTTCGTTAGATCTCCTCAGGTACATGGAGAATATGCTTCCTGTTTTGCTTAGAATGATTTTGTGTTTTCTGAAACAGTTTTGTCAAGTTACACAAACAGACTTATGCTAACTTATGCAAGCACCTATTAAAAATGAAGTTATGACGTGGTGGACACTGAACACATTTTATAACTTTGCTTTTATTTCAAAATATTACTCCCATTATCCCCCAAAGGAAGCCCACACACCCAACCAAATAACCAAAACCAAGCCAGATGTTCTAAAGGCACTTAACATGGTCTCAATTACACAGTTACCAAATATTTTTTTTAATTTATAATATGAGATCTAGATAATAGTTGACAAGCTACATACACTCAACAACCTGGTTTTATATTAATTCTAAACATCTTTTAAATAGCCTGATAGGAATGAGAAATTAATTTAAATTTACTTCAATTAAAATTAGTATTACAGCAGTTCATTTATTAAGTAGTATTTCAGCCTCAACTTTAACCAGTGGAAACTGAAAAAATATTCCTATTAGATTGGATTGGTCATGTCACAGTACAACACTTTTAAACACATGTATATATGCATAAAAGCAGATGGAGCAGCAACCTGTGCCTAGAACCCTCCTCTGTATCAAGGAACAAACTATGACTACATAATGCTGGTATCAAACTGCTCTTTTAAACAATAATCACACATGAAAAAGGCAGCATATTTTCCAATTGAGGCAGCAGGAACATAATGGTGCACTTCAGTCCGCACCTATTTTGCTTCTGGCACGGAGCTCTTACCAGACTTTTAATTGATCTGCACTGTTAGTAGGCTGTTCATTTTGTTCATTCAAAGCACCACCAGGACAGCTTGTGCATTTAGATGGCAGTTAAGAGGCTTATCCTAAGACTTTTTGCTTTTTTCCTTTCCAGATGCTGATTTTACTTAATTATGAATTTCAAAAAAAACAAAGGACACTCATATCATAAGACTAATTACTATGAAAAATGCTTTTGGAGAAATTTTTTTAGAAGTTCTTACCTAAGCTCTGCTTAGGGAATAACCATACGTAAATAAAACTGTCATCAAGAGTAATATGCATATTAAGAGAAAAAAGTTTAATTGACAAATTTCTTTGTTTTATAAAAAATAGTATATAAAAAATAAGTATTTTCTTTAGTATGAACACAAAAAATTAAGTATCAGAGAGAGAAGAGCTCAGAAGCCAAGAATACATTTATTAGATCCTTTTCTGAAAATTTTATTATTTTATGTATTTTAATATCACTTTGAACTACAAAAAAGAGATGCATAATAATCAGCATTGCCAAATACCAAAAAAGGTCTGTAAGGTTCTGAATGTCAGCCCAGAGATGCCTGTGTGGACAGAATGCTGTTTCTGTGGATTCCTTTGGGAGGCAGCCTTGCTTACTGTAACAGCAGAGAGCAAATGTGTTTGCTGTTAAAAATGTTACTGTATTAGAATGTTCTGTATTGTTTACAGAATGCCAGCAGACTACACTCTTTATATACCTGACTCGGAAGAAATTGTAATCTACATTAAACACCATGATTTACAGAGCCATCACTAAAATCTAGTACAAACCCAGCTTATTACTTGACTTTACAGCAGTTCTGTTTATGACCTACCTCGTTTAGAGGAAGTTCATTTAAAGGTGAAATTAAAGTGAGTAAAAACATTTCTTGCAGTAATATAAAATATACTAATACCCTATTTTCAGTCTAATTAAAATATGACTATTTAAAGAACACACATTAAGGCTAAAGAGAATTGAAATGCGTAAGTCATATATGCAGTTCCCTTTTAGTAGTTAACTAGAACAACTTTTCAGCATAGGAAATTCTCATAATTATTTCAATACATATTGGGTTGTGTTCATAATCACACTGGAATTCAGTGAATTCACAACAGCATGTGTCATTGCAGGTAAATATTCATGTTTGTCCAAAAAGGCACACAAGAAGCTGCCTTTATCTACTGGAATCACCCAACAAATTCACCTGCACTCAATTTTGCCTATATTTATGGTTGATTATATTCAGTGAGATTTGTCATCATTTTTATTGCAACAACAGTCCAATTTTACTGAGTAAACAGCACACAACTTTCTGCAAACGAGACATTTAGGCACCATCTTTGGGCAGTAAGAAATAACAAATCCATTTAAGTTTGAAGGACTCAAGAGTGGTGTCTTTTGGGTTTTTTCCCTTTTCAATGAGTAAAAAGACAGAAGTGGGGAGAATACAACTCACAGGTTGAAAGAATGCTACCTAGGTCTGAAAAATATGAAGCTAGACATTGTATCCATGTAGCAACTCATTTGAATTGTGTGTTGAAAATGTGACTCTGCCACCACTAGGAAAACAAACTTCTTAGTTTAGTCAAACTACCATCATGAAAAACATGATGTGATAGTCATGTCATAGGAGAAACAGCTGAAAATAGACAAATTCTACACCTGAAGATATATAAGACAAAGAAAATACTGTGAAACTACGGACTAGGACACGTATGTATGCTCAAGGTTACTTGTTTTAATTGCATTATCCAAAAAATGCATGGCAACACAGAATTGATGGTATCAAGCCAGAAGGGGAATGCACTGGATCATATATTCAGTGAAAACCAGAATCAGGAAACCTCTGACCAACTGTGGGCAGCTGGACCCCTACTGTGCTGACCACTGACACTCATTCATCTTGATACTTACCACCCAAGCAAAATGCCCCAGATGGAGAAACCCATGTCACAGACCTATTCCCAAACTTCACGGTGAAGTCAGTGAACCCTGAGAAGTGCTGGAAAACTGGCATAAGGTTAAACAATGTGGAGCAACCATATTCCAGACAGCTGTAGGCTGGGGTTCCTACAGCAATAAGAAAGCCTCATCCACTCCAGGTACATTGCCAGAGGATAAGGGAAATTCAAGCACAAGTGGTAAACACCTCATCCACTCCAGGTACATTGCCAGAGGATAAGGGAAATTCAAGCACAAGTGGTAAACACCATTTCCTTTGCTTAGGGTCTTGCCCTGTCCTTATGACCCAGGCAATAATCTGCTTCAAAGATGAGATTTCTGAAAATTCTCTTTGTGCTCTGTTATGGCACCAAATGCTGAAAAGCCACAGCCCTGCCCCTCAGGAAAGGGAGGCCAGTAAATATAGGGGAAAAAATTCTACTTACAGTATCACCTGCAACATACCTTCAACATACCTTTAACTAAGGTTCTCTCCATTGAAAATTTAAAGTATTAGTTGTCTTAGAAAATGAGATAAAGTGCTCGTATCTTCAGCAGTCTCTGGACAGACAATATAAACAAGGAGTTTTTAACGAACTCTTGCAGCAATATCCCTGGCACTGTGCTCCATGATTTGCCAAAAATTCCCTGTAATATATTACCCACTTTCTCTGGCGTGTGGTACTTACTCAAGAGATTCCTTGTCTGAACATGCACCTACAGATACAATTTTAAAACAAGAACATGTATTTCAGTTTGGTTTTTTTTAATCTGGCCTTCTTGTTATCAAGGTTGTGTAAAACAGATTGCTCCTACATAAAACATCATTTCCAAGCTGCAACTGTTATTGTAAATGGTACACAACAAGAGGTGAGAGTGTAACCTAACAATTTTGTAACAATTTACATTGAAAAAGGCCACTTTAAGCTAATGTTAAGTGTAGAAGACAAGACTGAAAAACAGTGCACTTTTTACTGTTTCTGAAACCATAAACTGTTTCTGAAAGCATAAATTAGCAAAATACCTAATCAGACTTGGGAAGGCACATGTGGATCCACTAAACACTTGCCAGTTCTGTACTGCTACATAAATTAATTTTTAAAAATAGCTTTGTGTAACAAGATCCTGAACTCAATAAATCATCATACATATTTTGATTATGCTTTTTTATGATATGACATGATTTCCACTAGTATTTAAAAGCCTTTAATAAAATACTCCATTTTAGGGAGAATTTCCCACAAATTTTATAATATATATATATGTGTGTATATACATTTTTATACATATATATATGTATAAAAATTATTCTCTGAAATACAATTAATTCTACATGTTACAATCTACAATTAATAAATATTTCTGAAATTTAATTGTCAGCATATCAGCTCTTTTTCTTTGATAACTCAACTAAGACAAGCAACTAAAATGTTGTGTACAAGAATTATCTAATTTGAAACTACTGCAACTTTGGACATAGCCAGAAAGAGAAAAACACCCACAAGAAGTCAAAGGGGGGTTTCTTAACAATTTCTTTTGAAATGATTAAATCAATCTTCTACTATACAGTGCAGTATCCAGCAAAGGTAAAAATGCTTCAGAAATGCAAAAGAGCAAGTGGATAGCAAACAAAAAATTGAGAGAATTAAGCTATCCCATGTATCATATACTCAGTATGTGATTCAACTTCTGAATATAAATGGGGGAGAATAATAAAGGAAGAATTATCAGCTACTCAAGAAAATATGTTTTATTAATATTAAAATACTTTTTTCCTTCATATTCAAAACATACCATTTCAGTAGAACATCAGTTTTTTACACCAGTTAGCAAGAGAAAAGTTCTATAAGAGAACTTGTAAGAAATGAAATACTGCTGTCAGTTTTGTTATGAATTCTTACAAAAAAATTTTGCACTTACTTTGCTATCTGTAATTTACTTATGAATGGGTGTTAATGTATCAAAATAATTTCATATCTGCTGATAGACCCAGCATAAAAAAAAAAGGCTATCGCTTCTCTTTATTTTCTAGTAAGCGTTTTCTTAAAAACAATCTTGGGTATAGAGGGCAAGGCATGAAATGAAAGATGCATTCTTTGCCAAGTTCCTGTATTCTGAAGCAAGATGGCAGTATTGCTGAAGATCTAATGTTTAATTTTGTTGTTGTTTTCTCCATCTAGGCACAATCAACATTACTGACCTACTAAATGGAGATTGCACTGCAAACTGCAGAAACTTATAGAACAGAAAATCTTCTATTGACTTTGGAATTAAGGGTGTTTAACAGGACTACAGGTTTAACACTGCATCGTATAATTTAAAAATAATTCTAAAGCATACAATACATTTTCTGAGTGCATTATTTTCATTGTCTGGAAAGTGCTTAATTGGAAGAATATTTTCACGGCAATTTTAGGGTAATGAGCCTGTTTAACACATGTTGAAGTTCTGCTTTCAAATAAAAGGTATGGGAAATACAGCAAAAGATATAGAGGCACATTAAACTAATTACAGCAGAACTGAACTGATGCATTCTCTGAAGCAACTTTTAAGCAGAAAACAGGCCACAAAAAGAGCGAGAAATACCAAACTGTGCGTTACCTTAAGTGATTCTGCCAGGTGTACATGGTTATCATAGACTAGAATGTCCACTGATAGATCTCTCAGCTGATGAAGAAGAACTTTTTCCCCTTCCAGATCTTTTGCTTCCACAGGCACCTTCCATGTGGGGTAGGGACATTTTGTGCCATCCCAAACCTGCATGTAAATACATGTAAATGAACTATTTCAATGTGCTCAGAATACTTTAGAGTCAGACTTTAACAACTTATATTTTTATTATTTTGATTAAAAATTATTAAAAATAAGAGATCTTAGTTGTAGTCTCAGTCTAAAAGCCATTAAAATACTTGAATTAGACCTTAAGGGATTTTTAATTTATTACTCCTTACAGAGCATAAAATCACCTCAACAGAGAATATAACCAACTGCTAAGACCTGGCATTTTTTAATATTTAAATAAAAATAACAGCTCTAGCTAAACCTCAGCTGTCTATCATCAGCACAGAATGACAAAATATTCTGAGCTGGAAAGGACTCACAAAGATGATCAAGTCTAACTCTTAAGTGAATGCTCCACATGGGGACTGAACCCTCAGCCTTGTGCTCTCGGAACCATGGTCTGAGCAGCTGAAACAATCTTAGGGTCAGCTGTTACAACTATCAGAATTCATCATATGCAGAACTGTCTGCACTTAATATTTTAATCCTGCTGTAGGGTTTTTTTAACCAGTCCACTATGTGAAAACTGAGTACACAGCATTTACTGACCTATTACTGATGATCTCCTATATCAGTATACACTGCTAGTTACCCAGAACATATTAGAAAAACATCAGTACTTAACTGTATTTATTAACAATAATTCTAAAACTTGTTTGCATAAAGCTGATACTTGATACACTCCAAGTACTGAAATATCAGTAGTTATATTTTAGCTATCAAAGTGTTGTGAAAACGTAAGCTTACTGACAGACTTAACACCTTGAAACAAAATCTCACTTCTTAACCTAAACATCCTGTAAAACCCTAGTTTCCTGAGTTTCTGAAAATATACTCTTCTCAAAGACACAAAAATAATGATTTCATATACTGGCATAGTAGAACAAAAATCTAGAAGCAGTTGGACTATATTTCTGAAATTCTGCTCTTCATAGGATTTCATACATGTATGTTCAACAGAAGAACCTATTTTCCAATTTTCAGATAGTTTGTGATATCAAGGTGCTTTGTCCCACGAGTTAGGCACTGCAAGAGGGCAAGAAAAAAAGACACTAAAGCCTAAAGGATTTCTTCCCCTTATGCTTAACTGTTTTGGATCAACAGACCCACAGGAAAAGATCTAAGAATCAGCAAAGCTATGTATAAATGCACTAAGAATAACTCATGGAATATGCATCCAAAATCAAAAGATAAAAGGGAAAACTGTTCATAGTGAAAATGACCCATGACATCAAATTATGTTGCCAAATGAGAGTAAATTCTGAAGGACCCAGATAATGAGGTGGTGTATGCTGCCATAGATTTAAAAAAGCCTGTTATTCTTCTGATCCTGTACCATGAAATACTTAAAACCACCTTTGAAAGAAAGGTTGTCTATTGCTTGAATTATCACATCTTTTACAGAACTCAGCTTGAAAACAGATTTAGTGCATACATATTACAAATTTAGTCACTCTGACGAAGTAAAGAATCTTATGTTTGTGAAGTTTTCCATTATTTTTCAACTGGCTTTACTTGAGACACTTTGGTAATTGTACACTGGAGAGATGATCTGACAAATGGATTAAAATAAGCTGCATGCTCCCTGATCAGAAGAAAAGGATGGTGACTTAGTTTTAAAATGTCCTCTGGTGAAGAGGAACTAACAGGGTTGGCACCAGGGCACCTTTTAGAAGAATTTATAAGCTAGTGGTTCTGGGTTTTTTCTTGCACAAATATAAAAACAGATAAAGCTCTCTATCTCAGGAGCTTGGCAGCTCTACTTTCCACAAAACATGAAAACATCCCAGTTTCAAAAGGTGCTGGTTTCAAAAACGAATACTGGAATAAAATCCAAAACTGGTTTAATTAATTTTGAAAAAAAACCAAAAAATGGTTCTATTACTAGTCATGAACAGACTGGAGCTAAAGAAAAGTTAGTGGTAACATTTTACCACCATGGTAGGAAAACACTGAAATGGGAGAGACAAAATACCAGTTTCTGTCTTCAGCAGAATATGCTCATCATACAACTTACCTTAATGTACACAATTTAACTGACAGAAAGGAAGAAAAGAGTAATAATAAAACTCTTATAAAAGGCATTAATGACAGAATAATTTCTACAGTGTATTCTTTAGTCTTCACCAATCTGAATAACAAAATTCTCATAAAATGGTAAACAGTAACAGGTCAGTGATTATGCCTTGTCCAACTCTACGGCCTTGCAAATAGGAACTAATTTATCAAGTGTAATTTAAGTTACAGTTGTGCTACAGGTGATGCACAAAATTGCTGAAATTAATTTCAGTTGTCTTTGAAGCACTCTCCACTAGGTACATGAGATCAATGCTTAAAATAATCATGATTTTTTTAATAGTACAATCAACCATTATTTTACCTGATATACTTGGAATAAAATAAATGCAAATTATAATTATAAAATGCATAACAAAATTATACAATAAAACACTATTTAATGAGCACTCAATTTGAGCTGGTATTGAATTGGTTGTTTTGTTTGATTTTTTTATTTAGCAAATCAAGAAAATAATCAGAGATCTGTCTACAAGTTTTTAGAAACGTTTCTTTTCTATCACAACCAGTATTTGATATCAGAATGGATCTTACCACTGTTGAAAAATGGAGGAAATTGGCAATAGAATATTAATGTAGCTTGTCCAATGTATTCTAATACATATTTAAGTATTTAATATTTTATGCTAAAAACTTGATGTACCATTATTTGACCTCAAGCTTTTACCTTCATATCCTAAGATTTCCCAAATTAATCACCTTTACTACACAAAAGTGACAAAATCGACTTCAGGTGTTACAACACAGGAAAGTGTGTAAAAAAAATATTAATTTAAGAATTAAATTGACTTGTCTCCATCCTTGCAGAAGGTCCCTCAATGCTGAAGATACACTTATTGATGAACAACTTAATTACAGTCCACAAAGTAATGAAAATTTACTGGGTCTCATTTGACATCTCTTTCAAAAGGCATAATTAAATGGAAATATTTGTAGCAGTTGCAGAATATGTTACAGCATGCACTTAAGGTTCTTTCTGTGTAGCAATGCATTGCTCTGTATGAGAAAAATCTTTGCTGCTTCAATGAAGGTATAACGCCAAGTGCTATTTCTAAAAATATTCTAACAATACAGTTTAACACAGTAGAACCAATATATTATTTTATGAAGTCATAAAGTGGAAAATAACAGCTTGTAATTACTCATGTTTTAACAGCCAAGTAAAAAATAAATACAGAGGAATTCTGGAAGAGCACCAGACTGATACATTGGAACTAAAACTAGGAATATTATGGAGACCTCCTTTCTATTTAGCTAATGTGAAGGATCACCTTTAGAATCTGCTCTCTTGTTCCACGGCACTTTGCATTTTGTACTTTCAGTGAGCATTGATGCCCAAAGCGCTCATGTATAACTAAAAGAAGCTACCTGAAATCCATCATGATAGCATAATCCATTCATTCTTTTTTAGGCAGTGCTATTTACTGCACTAATCATATCCAGCAAACCTAGAAAAACAAGCAGTAAATGCTGCTAACTAGAAAACAAGTTTAACAAGTTTAAACAAGTTTTATCTACAAATCTTCATGAAATTTTGATCTATATAATGCCATCTTAATAAACCTCTCTAAAAAACCAAACAAGGTGATCAAAGACAACTGGGCTTTCTATTTTGTTTTCATAGAATCAAAATAGCAAAAGATCACAGATTTGCTTACACTAAAAATATTTATCTACATAATATTATTTCAATTAATACGTATGTTTTATTAAAAAATATATCACAATGTCTTAATAAACCTAACAAATTATTTTTAAAAAGGAAGTCTACCTTTAGAAGAAAAGAAGATCCATCCACTTTTGCTTTTCCTACCAGCTGGCACGTAAGATCAAAGAACAGCATTGGCTCAACACCAGACAATTTTGTTGCTGGTCCAGAGATGGAAATATTACTGGCTGCCCAAATACGCAATTCTTCTATTGTTTTCTGTTCTTCATCCAGGAAAGTGTAGTCTCTGCTAGAAGCTCGAGGAACTACTGGAGCTCCTACAGTTCCATCAAATGTTAAGGATGCAAATCCCCCACTGGTAATTCCCTGCATCTGTCCATTGTATTCCCTGATCTGTAATAAAACATGAATGAGAAAAAAACCAGTTTGCACTGCATGGAAAAACAAATATATTTCTGCTTTATCATGTGCATGGAAAATGGACCATTGATCACCTCTGTTCCTGGTTCTATTGGGAGAACAGAGTCAAAATAAAAACAAAACAAAAAGGTAAAATTAATATTAATAAGAAAACAAAACGTATAAGCAGAAATATAACCTTACACAAGAAATTTCTGAAGAGGCAGACAAATAACTACCTGTAACATTTATATCTACACCGTCTTTGCAGAGTATTTTATTTGCACGTATCAAAGTATTTGTGTGGGGAACAGATAAGGATTGCCCTTATAAAAAGGGAAACTAAAGCACTAGAGAAATTAATTGTTAGGGGTCACACAGCAGAGTTATGGCAAAATTATTCTGGATTCCTGATTTTGGCCCCTCACCAATAGCCCTGCTTCCCAACACTATGGAACTGAAAAAAAATCTATCAGCTCAAGAAGGTATTTTTTTTTCTATAAAGCAAATAGTGATGAGCTTTCATTCCTTGAATTACGAATACAGCTATCACAGTTATTCAGTGTCTACTGCCCTGCTTGTGGCAGGTCTCCTAAATCCTGCTAACTTAGCTGTGCATCTGCTGCCATATGAAACACAGTATTTAAAGTCTGAAGCATTCCTTCAAGGGTCCAGTCTAGTCTTACTGCTCCCTGCAATTATAGATTTATCTATATCAAAGCACTGCATGACTCATTATTCTGAAATCTGAAACAGTGTTTTTTGACCCATTCCTTTTTAATTAATGTCGGGTTACCAAGTAAGCAGTAACATGCATGAACACAGCAACCGTGAGACAGTCTAGGATGAGCTTCCCAGGGCTCAGTTTTCAAATGGTTGAAAATCCCACTGATTTGAAATGCAGAACATGCAATATGCATCAGAAGTCCTAAACAGCAAAACATTGCCAATGATTTAGGCCTGTATTTTATAAACATAGTGAAATTTTAAAAGCACACAAATCAGGCATTCATTGACCTTGGAAATTCATAAGCAAAGCAGTTCAATCTTGGTGACAGAACTCCTTTAATCCCTGGTACTCTGACATAATGCATAAATGCATTAAGGGTCATCTCTAAGATAAACTTTGATTTACTTAAGCAGTCTTCAGACTTGACCAATGGAGCACATCAATTCAGGATGTAGTTCTTCCTCAGTGAACCACTGAAAAGCTTCAGTCTTTTAACCTTTATGTTTAAATATTGAAAATACAAGAAAAGCCAAAGGACAAATAAGGAAAATGCATGGTTTCATAATCATTTTGCCCCCCATTATCAATGATCTGGAAAAAAACATGTTCCCCTGTAAGATGTTATCTAATTTAAGCACACAGATTTACTTTAGTTGCTATCAATTGAATGAAACTTGATGAAAACTCTCATCACTTTTACCTCTTCATCCTGTATCAAAATATACTTCAAGAGTATTTTTTGTATCTTGTCTGAAATGTCAAATGCTTCTTGAAGTGTTTTAATTTCTAATTTACCTATTATTTATTTTTTCACTAGTTCTTTTAAATCATCATAAAAATATCTTGATTTCTTTCTTAGTAAAAATTGTGTCCTAGTCTCCTATGAATGCTCTAAGCCTTCCAAGAAACCAGAAAGAAAGTACTATGTCTCCCTGGGCTACCACCCAGGGAGACAACTTTCACCTTAAGTTATTCTCCTCTCTTCCCAAATCCTTCATGTCATGCTTTGAGCATTCAGGAGGCTGACATACTGCACTTCTGACATCTCTCAGTACCCTCATTTAGTGAATTTTAAATCAGCCTTAATGTTGGAAAAGGCAATTATAAAATAAAATAAAAAAAAAGAAATATGTAACACGGTAAATCTCAACTGTCATGATGAGAAAATTACCAGTGATCTTTAACAAAACCAGATGTCCTCACTCACAGGCAGGTGGAGAAGCCACTGAGTCCTTTCAAATGTAAACAGAATTCGACAATATTAGTGAGCAACAGAAGAAACAGGAATAGAAAATGTAGAATAGGTTACAGAAAGAAGTAGTTCACAGCTGGAAAATTACTTATGTTGGACCCATGGAACAGACGGTGGTTAACAGAAATTCTCTGGGCCTGTCCTTTAAAAACAAATCATTGCTAAAGTGATGAGGGATCACTGGAGTGTAAAATGAACAAAAATCTATGGACAAATGTTGTTTCATTATGGCACTCTTAAGTAGATATCAGATTAAGTTAAGCATTGATACTGTAAACATGTTGTATCTTCCAAACATTTTTGAATTTGAATTAAATTTACAAAAGAGTCAATCTGGGACTTTTACATATGACAACAATTCCCCTTCAGTAAATTTTGTGTAATTTCTAGAGGACATGGATATATCTTTCAAAAAATTGGTGGGGGAAGGTGAATCAGGGGGTTAACAGGGAAGCAGGGCAGACAGGTATCACTTTTAAAATTCCATTAAACTTTTAAATAATTTCAACAGTTAATGGTTGCTGAATAAAAATATCCTCTGGGACAACAATGGAGCAGATAAAATACATTTGGCTTGTTCTAAACAGGTAAATTCCAGTACATATTGCAGGAATCTCTGGCATAGTTTTTGTAAACTAAAGAACAATAGGTGAAATGTCACCTTAACAAACTGCATGGTCAATAAACTCCACTGATTTCTATGCAGTACAACACTACCTTGAATATGGTTATTGAAAAGAAGCAAATCTTGAAATATTTATAAATAGATTTACAGCAAAGTAAAATACATCCTTTTTTCTTTTTTTTTTTTTTTAACTGAAGATGGTGTTATTCATCTCACTAAATGGAAAAGTGTGATAGTAAGTAGTGTATAAAGCTGGAATAATAGCATCTCCAAGGTAGTTTTCCATCAAAACTGATTGTTAAATTATAGAAGCAAAGGACTATTATGAAACCACTGCAGTCACAGATCATCTTAGAGTATCAAAAAATGCCTAGGGAAACAAAATATACCAAGCTAACGTACATGTTTTTATACTAAGAAGAAAGACTTTATTTTTTTTATTATTGTCACTGATGATATCTGTATGAAGGAAAGTATCCTGGCAGAAAAAAAAAACCCCATTAGAATGCATCTGGTAGATTTCATTATATTTTATAAATATTCTCCCATCTTAAGTAAATAGTCTAAACAAATTTGGATAATACAGGATGCTGATTATATTTTCTTATATTTTAATAATGTAATCCTGGTTTACCTGTACCTCCAGCTGTATGAACAGAGAGCTACTAATGAAATAGAGAAGTCATTTGAAGTATAAATTAAACCGTTCTGAATATGTTTAAGTATCACAAGAAGAACTATCAAAACTGTCTGCAGGCACCTTCTGAAAGAAAATTAACAATGATAGTTACACGGAAGTAAAATGATTTTTTGAAGACATGATGAACACATCTCGATATTAGGACCATAAATGATAGCTTATCCTCTAGCATTCCTGAATTGCTGCCTGTAAAATAAGATTGTCAGAAACATCTGTAGCAATGGAAACACAAATTAAAGAAGAAAATGAGCAATACACTGTATTTTGTTAACCAATTCAATTCACCTGAAGATATAAGTATTTTGTGGAAAAATTTGTATGCAAAAAGTTTATACACTTAGGCCACTTGAAATAATTTCTGGTTTAATAATTTAAAAAGCCAGAAGGCACTGTGATACTGCTTTAGAAATATTCCTTAGAGAAAGTGGCATAGTTTACTTTAAGAAATTCTAAAAAATTATTATTTTGAAATATCTTCTACATATTTAAAACCTGATCCAGTAACTTGACCAAAAGTACTGATATGAAAATCATACGTGCAAATTGCTAAGACTTCAAATTACAGAGACACTTTATCACTGCCTACAGTCACTATTTCCTGACATTATTTACTATAGGAAAAATACTTTTTTAAAATTTAAATTCCATTCAAAGTGAGTTGCATGCCTTACAGAATTTTTGAAGGGGAGCCAAAAGCAATAGTAATACTGATATTTCTGAGAAAAAAAAAAAAAAAAGTTTTTTTCTGTATTAAAAAGAATCTCCTAACTGCTTACTAAAAAAAAAAAATTGATTCCTTCCACTCTTTTGAAAAGAATTTTAAAACTGGGTAGCAGTGCAACAGACAACACCCTCGCTCTTCAACATCCTTTTTAGCAGAAAGTCTCAAACCTGATTTTGGCCAAGTTTATATATTTGGACCACATTTACTCAGAAGACACTAAGAATCTGGGAGCTATATTCTGCCAAAGTTTAATGTTCATTCAGTACGCTGTATAACCAAGCTCCAGACTTTCCCCCCGCCCCCCATCCTTATCAACCTGACAGCTACAGCTAGGGCTGCCCAGGAACAAGTGAGCAGATATTTCAGCTGTGTCTTTCTCTCAGTGTCTTCCATATTTCATTAAGCAGAAAGAAGGAAAGAAATCAGCTTTCATTGGACAAACTGGATTAAACTAAAGGAGAGAATATAAAGAGACAAGGAAACTGCTAGCTAAGTGCAAAAGTAAGAGTGCTCCTGGAAATAACAGCAGATTGTTTAAAGATCAAAGTAAGTAACACAGTGGAACAAATGCTATCTTAAATATTACTATATTTAGGAGAGTGACGAACTAAAAGAGAGACAGAACAGAACTGGTAAGGATAACAAAAAAGGGAGTGTGATACTTTCATGTTGTTATGAAGACGTGCTCCATATACTCAACATTCAGATTCCTCCTCCTCTGTGGATAAACACCTTAGAAACTCACTAACAAAACATCCATCTTACACTTGTCAATCTACTGATCTATGAAAGGAAAAACCATCTATATGGTGGCTATTAAATCCTTTTGCTCAAAGAGACTATGCTTTTACATTGTAAATCTAAAGAGTTTGAATCAGATAAATATGGAATTAATAGCATGCAAAGATTTTGATTTTCCTGGTGTTTTCCTGCATTTTTTTATTCTACAGATGCTGCATCAGGCATGGTGGTATTTAGTCGAAGATTTGATATGCTAGTCTTGGAGTTAACTTCCAATCTTAATGATTCTCCTATTCTGTCATCTAATCACAAAGATAAAACAACAGGATTATAATCCATAATTATTCCAAGTTCAGCAGATGACAGTTACTGATGCCTGTGCAAACTCAGTTCAGCTCATGATGCATTTATGTTATGATACCATGTTCCGTAACCCCCATGACCCTGTTTTTCTATAGAACATTTTCCTACACAGTGCATGACTTGAGAAGTGCAATGGTGATGCAACAGTACTATCTAAGAAAGAGAGGGACAACTTTACAATTTCTACTTCAATTGTTACAGCAACTGGTGCCTATGTACAGAAGTTAAGGTTAATGAAAGTAGGAGAGGAGAACAGCATCAGGATTACTATGACAAAAAGCTAGAGAATTAAGGGTTTGTAGTTGCCAAAGAATTTGCATTATGCCAAGAAAGTCAAGCAAGTGAAGCTTATAATAGAGTTCACTGTCTCTGTCTTCATTCTCTAGGTGTTACACATGAACCACACAGCTCTGCAATGCCACATATTCAAGAAAAAGATCCACCAGAACACATTCTGGACATCCTGACCGCATTGAACAAATACACTGTACTTGTACTAGAGTACAGTGAACAAGATGAATGCCAAAATGACAACGTGCCTCACTTTTTCCAATTCTCAAACATTAAAATGAAATACCAGATCTCTTCACTGGAAATGAGGAAATAAGTTCTTATTTGTGAATCACTCAGAAGTAATAGGGAATACTAGAGAAAAGCCAATGAGAAAATTAACTATTCTATCATCATGGCAGGGTTTTGAAGTATTTTATGAAAGGCAGAAGTCAAGGAAGGGTAAAATACTGCAGGTGTAGCCAGTTCCAGCAGATTGCCTCTTCCCACAGTTTAAGTGCACCATTAGGCATTACTTCTAAGATACTAAGAGTATTCACAGTGAACAATAAACAAGAATGTCCAAGAAAAATCAACCTAAGAAAACTCTTCCTTTGACATGAAGATAGAAAGAGACTAGACAAATAGATCATGGCCTGGCTTTTATATTGAGAGATGGGGGGCTAGTCTTCCACAATCTCTGCAGAGCATTGATTGTGGCTGAAAGCCTGGGTACAGTACTGTGAATCACGAAATTCTGTAATTCATGAGAAATCATCATATGATGCCATGCATAAAGATGCACTTCAAGAAATATTAACAGAAATGTAATTAAAACTAGATAATTTTCCAGTTTTATTACTAAGACACTTAAATTTTCCTTCTCTGCATCAAATATTAGGCAAATTAAATTACTCTCTATCCCCAGTAATTCCAGCAGAATCCTCTTCATTAAATTCATATTAGCTCTGACCATCAGATCTTGTCAACACCTCTGTTACTATGAGGAGAAGTTATCCATTAAAAGCTAATAGTGTTAACTGGGAGCAGTAATTTTTAAAATGTGTTTGCTATCAATGTCAACTCCCTAGAAGTTCCTCAAAAGCACATCTGCTCCCTCAATCTCCCTCCAAGGATAGAACGTGAACACACGCTCTTCAGGCTATGTATATCTATGTCCCCACTGGTAAGCACAGCTTTTACAAACTATGGCCTCTGCTACCCTGGCTTGCTTTCCATTCAAGCTGAGAGAAGGTGATTAAGGCCTGAATACAAAAGCAGGAAAGAGTGAAGGAAGAACTGCAGAAAGTGTAATTAGAAGTCATACCTAAAATGCTGCTTACGGATGAAAGACGAAGAAGTCCTCCCTCTCCCAGTTCATTCCCAGAAGCTGACACCAGCCTCTTGTGTCAGATTTACAGCTGTTCAGATCAGATATGAAAACTTCCAAAATACCTGTTTCTTTGTTGGGGGTAATCAGAACAATCCCATCCAGAAAAAGACATCTTAGCAACTCTAGATCATTTTCACTTAGAAAGTAATTAAACAAGCTCTGAGCTCATCCGAAGAGAGAGAGATATAGAAGAGACATAGATTGTGAGCAGCTGGAGGTCTGTTAGGACTGGAAACTACTTAGAACAGCTCAACTGGGATGAAATAAAAAAGATAAGAGAAGCAAATTGATAGACCTTCTCTTTAAATCCTGGAACATCATCCTGGAGAATGATAAAAGTACCAACTGACAAGAATTCTAGAATGATCTCCTAAAAAAGTGATGCCAAATCAGAACAGTGAGGTCCCTTACCTGTAGGCTGTATCAGTAGGTTTCCTTAGTAAGGTTGTGATAATAATAAATAGTAGAAATTAGACATTACTATGTTTGCATAAAAGAAGGTGCAAACATCAATTTTCTGACAGTGGTCTTGTTTATTTTCTTAATGTGTACTTAGAAATCCAATACTGACCTACCACAGTCATACAATTTTTCAATTATTCTTTTTGACCAGTTCCTTTCTACTTTCTTTTTCCACATATATAAAATACATACTCTGTTTCAGAAGCAATAAACAAGTTTTTATCTCCACTGAGTTTCTAAACTGAATGTATCTGTATAACAATCACCCTGATGGTTTCAGAGAAAATATTAAAATTTAGTGTAAGACTTTCCCATCTGAAGTCAAATTCATGAACTTCCAAGACTGATAACACATCTCAAGTACTGATCAGCACCACAAGCTTCAAAATATAATAATACAATTTAATTCCACTCTCATTATATATACAGATGACCTCAGAGAAACCTTATACTAACTCAGAATAGGTTAGCTAATTTCTCTCTCAATGGTAAATACTTATAATATAGAGGAATAACTCTAGACTGTTTCTGAATCTTAACAAGTTCTTTCGTAACAATCTCAGCAGTATGAAACTCAAATACTGGCTAAATCTTACTACTTTTTACATTTATTGTCATGGGGTTTTGTTCTTTGTTCTCCTACTACAGCATATCAAAATATTCATGCTTAGGACTATGGATATTTATCCCTTTAATCATCCTTTTGTACAATCCTAAATTTCCTACATCTCTCAAGTTTCCTAGAACACTCTCAAGAGTGTTCTGATATGCAAACTGGGCTCTTCTTTCCCCCACCCCGCCACTGGCCTCTTTCATTATCTTTATTAATTTCTGCTATAATTATTTTACACAAAAATTAAATACAAAATTATGTACAGTTATGTTGCAAATTAATGGTAAAATCACATCTTTGGTCCTATTAAGCACCTCTTTATGTATGATCCAGCATCACAAGACTTCCATTCAGTCCCTGTAGGATGGTTCCCCCTCCCCATACAGTTGCAGCAGGCATAAGAAAAATAGCCAGCAGAAGCAGTACCAGAGCTACAAACAGTTTCCTGCATGCCCTTTCAGACAGATAGATAGGAAATAATGCAGGGTAACACTGAAGCAGCAGCAGGAGCACACTGCACACTAACAAGCCCAGACTGATTTGCTATACTGGAGTAATTCTCCAGCTGACCTAAACTGCTCCATAATAGAAGACCTAAAGAAACTCCTCAATTCTATCAGCTTGAACAGGAGTAAAATGTGCCAATTTATGTCAGTTAAACTCTATCCATCTAGAAGTACCACATGATTTCTTGTCAAGTAGTTTAATAAACACTGTTGTTGAAAAAATGTCATTGTCATTTTCAGTTTTGGTCCATGCCATAACCACAGCTGTTTTAACAATCAGCTGTTTTATCCAGTGTCTCCAAGAGTTAATTTCTGTATGTGTAGAACTAAATTATTACCGTGGTCCTCTCACTGCAGAAAAGCAAGCACATAAACACATCCTAGTACATACCTTTATTCTATGAAATCGAACAATATCTCCAACTTTGTAAATTTTTGGTAGAAAATCTACGTTTCCATTAAAAAGATTGCATGTTAACTTCACATTTGATGGGTCCACCAGTGTTACAACTGAGCAATAATCTGTAAAATATAAAAGTGTCTGGATGAATAACAGGCATTATGGAATTATTAATACACATATACTAAATTTGGGAGGAATACCCTTATGGGCAATTTTTTTCTACTATGACATTTTAAATATTAACTTTTTCAAAGTTAATTTTTTACAGTATCATAATAACTGAAGTGTGGCCCATCTTGCCAATAATTAGCCCAAATAACTGAAAATGAAATGTGTGATTAAGCACATCACAACAATCACATGTTGCAAGGACACACAAGCCTTTTTCTTCTGCCTGGAACAGGCATCCTATTCTTTCATGTTTCAATTATGTGTTCTACAAAATGAGGAGCATATCTAAAGTTTTATAAAATAAGTTTCTAAGATTTATTTTGCACTATTTCTGACAAGGTAATGAGTTCCACAAGGAAATTAAAGCATAAATTACATATCCTTCACTTCAACAAAATATGCAAGATAGACATATATACCACAAGAACAGAGTAAAAATATGAAATATGCCTTTCTGAATTTAAACTTCATGGAATTTAATTTCTAATAATGATCTAAAAAGTAAAATCAAAACACGATACAAAGATGACAATGCAGCCCAGAATACAGCAATATTTGTGGATGACATAAATGAAACCTGTATTTTCCATTTCAGCTTACAGAACATGTATGCTATCCAAGAGACACCATCTCTTAAAAAAAAACCCAAACAGAAGAGAAAAAAATCTAAATGATCAAAACCCCCAATTTCCCTGAGCTGTAACTCTATGAGGCAACTAGTAATAATGACACTACACCAGTTTATATAGCTAGGAACTGAATAAAGGTGTTGTAGTTCTAAAACAAAGTCAATAAAATGTCCATCATTCACATTACAAAGACGTGTACGTTGATGCTAGACAGCTTTGAAAGAGAATGCTATCAGTCTAGTAAAACTGACAGATTTGCCTTATATAAAAAAGCTACAGGAAGGCAGTCATAAAAAGATGATTTTTATATGTAAATTTTCTGAATAGATTCCCTAAACATAAAGACAGGTATGTAAGACTGGATTAAAATACATGCTTCTAAAGAAATATTCCTCTGTTTCCAGCACTTATCCCCTTTAATTTTCCTATCATTTAAGCTTAGAGTTTAAATGCCCTAATGATTTGACTGAATTAAGTGGTGAAAGAAATCCAGTGAAGGCTTACCAAGAAATAAAACTTTGCCTACAGATACAAAAACCTTCTGTATTTCAACAAAACTAGTACCCTTCATCCTTCCCAGGATTTTTACACAGGCTCAATAATGATGAATTATCATCTTTTGCATTCAGAAGTTGCTGAGATCACTTTTCCACACTCCCACCAAAGGCACAAGGTCCATATGGAGTTTATTTTGAAATTCTATGCTAGGAATGTCAAGAATAAACTTCAGTCACTGGCTGACGAAACTGCAAGTATCTACTCCTGTAATCCAAAGACTGATGTATTTATTTGGGTATGAATTCTAGAGGTTAACTTAAAAGTTCTATTGCAAATATGTGCAAAATGAGGAATTAAGAAGAAAAACCCATATGGTTCATGGATTTACAATCCTTTGGGGATGAAGAATAACATGCTACAGTGCACTGATATAATCCAACATCAGAATCAAGGGGAAATAGCAAAAACATTCCACATTAAAATTGTGGTTACTCTTTGATGCTGTGATTATACCACCTAGTCAGCTTCATACATGTGCAGCTGCCTATTTAATGGTAGAAGTTAACACACTGTCTCAATTTTGCTGTGTAATTAGCATAATCATATAGGACTGATAATCATCCTAGTCAGAGCAGTATAAAATAGTACACTTGCTTTACATAGCCAGGAAACACTTTCTACATAATAGAGGTTCTCTGTCTCTGTGACTTTAGACTTCCATTCCTTACTATCACCTCAAAACATCACTTCTATAAACTTAATTACATTAGAGGTCTTTGAGAACAAAGCTTAAAGACTTTTTAAAATGAAATCCTCATTCAACAAAGTCCTTTTTGAAGGTTAAAACAAAAAAGTCACCTGCCTTTTCTTTTTCAGCTGAAATGTAAAAATTGTTTCCTATATTCCACACTAGCATTATAGATCAGTGTATGAATTCACTGAAAAAAAATGAATTTTCCAAAAAAATAGTGAGTCAAATGCTAGACAGAATTGCTGAATTTAAATAATATCCTAGAGTTAAACAAAACAATATAATGCCATTGGTCACACTTTTGATTTTTCTCAATGTACCCTCCAACAAAGCAAAATCCCTTCATTACCTAGCTAACAAACAAATAAATAATGGAAGTTTACATATTGGAGTCAATTTTCTGTTACTACAGAAATTCACTCCACTTGTTAAAAAAAAAATCCACTGATTTTCTTTAAAATAATTTTACCACTGGTAGATGTTACTTGGAATAACATGACTTAAAAATATGACACAATGGATGCACAGTTCTGCAAATTTATATGCTATGGCAGAAAGCCTTTTACTTTCATACTAGATTGTCTTGGTAAAAGCACTGAATTTCAGCTGACACTACACAAAACTACAAACTGCATTTACCTTTTTTTTTAAATATATTTAATTATTGTGAAGGGGTATTCTCACTTAGGCTTAACATTACATGAGGAACCACCTGCCATGGACAGCTACCTGTAAGGATGCTTGTAATATCCCACAATTGTTACAAAAACAAGGAGACATAACTCATGTTTAATTTAAATGAAAGTACAGTGTGATAGTCCGCATGTGTCTTACATGCTTCTTATATTCTTCCAGATTAGTCCTTACTGTTCTTTAAAAATACAATTGCTATAATTTGCTAATGAGTTCTTTATTTCATTTCATAAAAAAATCCACAACTATTACCAAATATGAGAAGGTCTGTATAGAGAATGCTGACTGTCAAGCTTCTAGGTCCTTTAAATAGTTTGAAATAGAAATCTCTTGCAGCTCTGTAACAGTTACTGAAAATCTCAAGTTGCCTCCACTATCATGACAGTTCAGGTTCATTCTTCAGGTTGCAACTTTCCTTTCACAATTCCATAGCATTTCTAATCTTTTATGGAAATCTCTGTTATGCTGGTTATTAGCATGAGCAGAAATCCAGCATTTCTCCACACTGTGTACAGATAGATAAAAAACAAACACGAAAACCCAAAACCCCACAGCTTTACATACCAACTCATTTTTCAGTCATCCTAAGAAAACCAGAATTGCTAAAAAAGCTTTCCAGATTGGTAGCTATTGATACTGTAGGACCAACAAGTTGTTTAGAATTTACTGAATAAATATTTATTATAGTTTTACTGAGGACTTCAGCAGTTCCTGACTAATATGCTTGTATAAATTGTTAAGGTGGAAAGCACTGATCTAATTACACATCCCCTTTTGGGCAATCACAAATTTATTTCTCAATAACATTTAGTGGAAAACACACTACCCTGAACCAATAACTTCTCCATTCCAAGAGATAAAAAGGTTTTGGGCAATGTTGTTAGCAGTCAGAGACTCTAATTAAAGACTGCCTTCTGTTTCTTTTATTTCAATACATACAAAAAAGGCAGAGATTATTGTAGCAAATTATTCTCTCTTCAAAACTAAATGAAACATTTAATACTGTTTTCAAGAATTACTGAGGCCTTTCAATACACAAGTGTCTGCACTAACACCAAGAAATTGACCTAGTTAATTTACCATTTATACTTCAACAAGACAGGGAAAAAATAATAAAAATGTACACACACTTCTATGTGTATATATATATATGTACATACAAATACATTTTGCAGAAACCCAAAACAAAAACCCCTGAAGAACCAAACTGTTTTACTAAGGCTTGTTATTTCTAACACGGTGATACGCTTTAGAGATACAATTTGGTAACTACCAGAAGCATCTGGCTAAACAGATGTTTCAATGCTGTAATTTTTAAACTGTAGATCAAAGTAACTGTCTTGAGATTTCTATTAATTATTTATTCAACTATTTACTATTGTTATTAATTCCTCTAAGTATCTTTTATTTATCTTCTATACTTAAAGATAAGAAAGAGTGGTTATTTAAAAAAGAAATGCATATAAACCACTGTGAACAGAAGGGAAAACATTATTCTAATCTCTAGGGGTCCAGATATTAAATTGCTACCTTTACCTCTGCAACTGTTTTTACTCTGTTCTGCAAAACTTAAATAAATCCTCAACATTTTGATTCAGAAAAAAAACCCCAAAATAGAATACAATACTTTGAAGGAAAAACTACTACAGGTTTAAGTTTGCTTCCTCACAAATGGATACCACAACATTCTGTGATGGGTTTGCTTTGCAGTGTAAAGTTGGTTTGCTATTACTTGCTAAAATTTGACTATTGTAATTCAAGTTAACCAAGTGGTATAGTTTAAATTAGAGTTCATTCTTTCAGCTACATAATTTTAAACAAATTCTGGGCTGTTTTATTAACTTGGCTCAAGATCAAATAAAAACTGAAAATAAAAATAAAACTAAGGACTTAAAAAATTCTGTAAGAATCTGATTTGATTCTTAATCTGTATTTTGGGCATGTAAAACTGTTGACCTGGAAGCGGCCAAGCTTTTTAGAAGTATCTTTTACAACTTGCTATCCTTTATTAATCTTGATTCTAAGAAATATTTCATAAAAATAAAATAGTTGCAATCTACATGCATGTCTAGGTAGGATAAGATTTTAACTGAACATGTGACATACAAATAGACTGCATGCACCTATGATAAAATGCTAGATGGAGGTTTCCTCAGAAAAACAGGATATTCATGCTGTGACACTGTTAACCAGCAGCAAGGATTCTTCATTATTCCTTGCTTTATGGAAAATACTGACCAATATCTACATGAAAACAAAGGGCTGGGGAAACAGTAGGTGTCACGCTGTAACGTCCTAAAACTTTCATGGTCAAGCACATAGTCTTTGTAATTGGACACTACAAAGACACTACTCTTATTTCTTCTATTTACTTCTCTTTTCTATTAAATCTCAAGGTTAAGTACTTGAGATATCCTAAAGATTAAGGGAGGGGAGAGAGGAGAATATAATCTTTGTTAAAAATTTAAAGTATCTTAGAGACTCTTAAACTACTGGGGAAGGAAAGTTGGAATATAATTTTGAACACTTCCAACAGCTCTTCTAGCAGACAAAATCCTGCCTGTCTCTTGTACCAAGCAAGACCCAAAGCACTTTCTTGGATAGTTTTCAGAACTCATAAAGCTCTCATATACAGACATTTCAGACTATATGCCTCAAGCAAAAGCGTGCTTAGCTAAAACAACTTTATCTGTAATAAATAATTTATAAACATAATGAAAACTCATTTCATTCATCAGTGTTTTAACATTCATCTAATGCAATCATGGCAATGGAAATGATGAACTTTTAATTATACATTATATAAACCAACCAGATTAAATTAGGCACCAGTCCAGTGGTACCCACCTTTAATGGGAACACAGAGCAAGGCCTCATCCTTAAGCCTTAATATGTGTAAGAAGGACCAGCATCCTATACCTCAGAACGTACCTATATAGTGAATAAAAATCCATGTGGATAAAGCACAGTGGCCCCACTTTCAGTGCTTCCAGTGGGCACCAGCCAAAAATTATATGATTCTATTATTACTGTGTCAGACAGAGAATGCATTGGTGTAGGATTGGGCCAGATCTAAAGCAACCACAAAATTTTCTGACAAGACCCACTTTGTGCCCTGACAATGCAGAACAATCGTTGACCATTTTGTATCCTCTCAAGCAATCATCACTCTGGATAGTGCAAAAAAATCAAAAACCAACACTGAAATATTTGACTGATTAGTGAATATTTTTACTCAAAACCCCAGACTGATTAAAACTGTCTCAGAGATTTTCATTATAAAGTAGCAAGTGAATTACAACTATCTTCATAAATAAGAAATATCAGATTGCATCCCTGTTCTCTACTGATATATTTTAGTGTTAGCTACACTGTGCTATTTTAATGTCAACTGAAAATATATAGGGAAGACATATTAGGAAGTTATTAATTACATTTAGGCAAGGACTAATTGTTAAATAAATAATCATTTTCCCTATTAAATTTCTACTACTTAAGAAATTGAAGTGATTAACTTGGCAAATGACTCAGCAGAAAAAAAATCTCTCCTAGCTGCTTCAGAGACATGCTGCTTCGAAAGTTGGTGCATTTAACTTCACTGTTTCTATATATGTTGAAAGAATGGCTGCCCTAATGATTTCCAGCAATCAGCACTTGTCTACTTAAGATGTTTCACACCCTCAGTTGCCCAAAGTCTTGTTAAAGTAGCTGGACAAATGACAAATCTCCTTTAAGAACCTTCTTAATTTGCTGTCTTCACCAATCTGCCTAGAGTGACTGGTATCTCTCATTTATTTGTTCTTCTCTTTCCTTGGTATTAGCTGGTCAAAACTATGGTTAAAGGATCAGGTGAATTTGTTGTTTTGGTTGATTTTTAACAAACATAATAAGAACAATTCTAGCTGGAGGAGATTTCAAATGTCTTGAACATAGTACATACCAGTTCCTTTGCTAATATATGGAGGCTTGAAGAATTTCACAACGCCATACAAGTTCACTATAGTTCCATCTTTTAGATGATTGAGTGGAGTATAAACATATTTTGGAGCAACAGACTGAAAAGGCATGATACAATGAGGGAACAAAAGAAAAATTTATTCAAACATTCACATAGAATTTTGCCTTTTAACATCATTCATCCTCAGACATAATTATTTCATCTTAAAGAAATAAAGGTTATCTATTTCTCTGTATTTTATTCACTTGAGACTCGAAAGCACACAAGACTTTTGATTTCTTTCTGGGATTGCATCTTTCTTACAATAAGCCAACCAGTTAATTGAATAAGTTTCAATACACGAACCAGGTGAGTAGAAGTCATTACAATAAAGAACAATGAGACTTTTTTACTGATCCATTTTAACATGTCCATCCAGAGAACTTTTTAAAGCACAAAGATAAATAGCTTTGTATTTCTGCTTGGCAGTGTCACTGTACAGACTCCTTGTCTTGGGCTGGTGCGGGGGTTATGTCTCACAGCCACTGTGCATATCTGATTAAAATACCACAATTCTGGCAGATTTGAGAAATTAGGGGCTACATTCTACAGTTTAAGGACTATTCTCCTCTCATCTTAAGGTTGTAATATATGCTGATTAGATTCTTTTAAAGAAAGAAGTTCTCTCAAACTGCTTGATAACTTACGTTTTCAAGTACTATACTGAAAAAACGAGACTGTAAGTAAAAATTCAAAATGAGCTCTATCACCATTGGTACTGAATCTTTAAAATCATGATAAAGACCATTACAATTTCACAAACCAGTTCCTCTGTCTTTAAAATACTATTTATTGTAGAATTTTAATTTAGACACGTAAGGGCTTGCTCCAAACAGAAATCAAAACAAACGTTAAGACCAGTATTGGAAGTCTGATTTTAAAACAAAGGAAGTTTAATATTTCCTTTTTTTTTGGTTTTACAACACAAGCATACAATCTTATTTAAATCAATGAACCTTTCTAGTTCAAATTTCCTAAAGCAACATGAAGTCCGTTTGGAGATCAAGATGGGAACTATACAAGTATAGAAAATGTACTACTTTTTTCAAATGTTATTTTGTGTTCCAGGTATATTATTTGCAAAAATAAAAGCTAATGACTGCTGGGATAAGAGAACAAAAGTAAATTAAACAGGAGCAAAAATGAATGCCACACCTTCTTATTTACATGCCGTTAATCTCATGTGATTTAATAATATCCCAAATACAAACTCACCACAGATGCAGTTTCTGATGCAGCCGTTGTTCCTGCTTTAACGCAAATCTGTGGAGAAAAAATAACAAACTTTCTGATTACAAAATTGATAATACTGCAAATATAACAACATTTGAAAACTTTAAAGCAAATACAACACTGTAAGGAAATGCAAACCAGCCCTACAGCCATTTTTCCCAGAAGAATCATGTGTGAATCTAGTAAAATTTTAGCTACAGAAGAAAAGGAAGTATTTAATGCAATTACACTAGGATAAAAGCTTCTTCAAAAAAAATACACACGTTTTCTAAAGCCATGTAGCTGAATATGTTAGGTGACATTAATAGAGTAGCATTTGAAAGTTGGAGGCCACAAACTTAAAAATGCACTTGCTTAACAAAGACCAGAAATGGGTTTAAGGTTTTGTACATAAAGACGTATGTACATGTAAATGCTTAGAGCAGATCTATTCTCAGTGACTCATTACTTTCCTTTGGGAGAAAAAATTCACCAGAATGGGATAAATTGTATTTAAAGATAGTTCCTAAGCTTTCTGAGACTTACTTGTAAGCCAGACTTATCTTCAATGTACGGTCTTGTAAAGAACTAATCATGGTGATTTGATGAAAAGCCCCACTCTCTGTGAGGAACACAGGGCTCAGCTGCCTTCCCAGCCCCTGTGACAGAGCCCCTGTCACAGCAGTTCCCTGCCCCACACTGCCAACTCCTGCTAGGGATCTGCTTTTGCTCTCCACCTCAGCTACATCCCTGAAACTGATTTTACTTTTAAACAGATGAGTGAAAAGTTATGATTGAGGAAGTGAAGCACACATGAAGTCATTTGTATGAATGCTATTATGCATCCAATACGCCTGTCACCAAGCAAAGTGCCACACGCTCCATTCTGTGGTCAATGAGGAGAGAAACAGCACAACCCAGGCATTCAGGGGGCTGCACAGTGTCTGAGGTCTTGCCAATACTCAGCTAAAGGCCTTGGGTAGATTCTAAAGTTTAGACACTTTTAGTTTACACACACCTATTCAGGCTCAGGGTGGTTTTGCTATCTATCATCTTCAATGAAAAATACTCTTTTTACCTTTATATCATCATCATCATCAACAGATAATGAATGCAGGATACAATCTGCACTATAATTTTAAATAATTTTGTTTCTCATTGAGCTGTGTGCCAAGTTTTAATTACCTGTAGAGGTCAATTAAAAAACAAAAGTGCCTGAGATTTAAAAAAAAAAAATAAATATTTTTTTTTCTTAAATTTAGGATTTAATTAGACAACAACTGTACAGATAAGGCTAAACAGAACTGATGTGAGAGTGGCATAAAAGAACAAATATTTTACTCAGGACAAAAGGGTATAATTCTCTGTATAAAATTTAGATTATAGCATTCCATCTATTTAAAAGGCAACAACTAATGATTTGCATTAAAACAGTAAACTCATAGACCAGAGAAAACTAAAAATTATAGACCTGAAATCACTCTTGCACCCTCTGCCTTGTCTGCATTATTGAAATGTGTTATGCACAGGAGTAGTTGAAACAACTCTAGAAATCTATCTAAAGTCAACTGAAGTCAAATTCATGCACTCAACAAGTAGAAATTTACCTGGAAAATAATTTGTTTAGGGTTATTATAAAATTCCATGTGCACACAGACACAAACGTGACATGTTTCCTGATTAACATGGTAAAATAATCTGTACTGTTTCACTTTCTAATAGGTTTTATTGTTTTTTTCTATTATAAAGCAAAATGTCAATATAAGCATTTTGGAAACTAAAAAATTGGGCACATACATAAATGGCTGATCCAGCTTCTTCAGACACTTCCAGGTGACACTCATGTCTACCATCCTCTCTCGCTGTAGGCAATTTTATCACCTTAAATCCTGCAACTATCATGGTTTCCTATGGGAACAGAGCAATAAACAGAAAATTACAGACTCCAACACATGCTCTATTTTAAGACTATATGATGTGAAAATTCACTCTGAAGTCTCAAGACACTGAAGAAACAACAACCCTGAACAAATTGTAAAATCTGTCTTTAAGTTTCTCAATTTAGTTCTTTTACCCATGGAATTTATATTTACAGCAAATGCCAGAAAGCTTTTCTTTTTAATTCTGCTAAAATTTTCACACCCATGATGCTACTATAACTGAGTGCTATTTTTGACAAAGCCTAAGGAGGAAGATTCACACTGCATAAAGCAAGAGAATCATTCCTCTTTGAATACACTGAAGACTGACTCCTTTCTGGTTAGCCTAACTAAAGTAGAAAAGAAATCACATGTCACACCAACAGTGATCAAACGTTTTTTCTTAGAGCTTCTTTCTCATTGAATTACAGCTGTACTTTTAAGAAACTCTCCTATAAACTCTTTTTTGGCTGGACCAAACATCCAGGCCAACATCTTCCTGAAGGGTTAAATACCTAGTTCAATCAAGAGGTAGATTTCTTTTAGCAAAAGAGACCTTACAAACTTCTCTGGGATCACTGCTGAGATTCTGGCACAGGAAGCAATTGTAACTCTATTTTCATGTCAGTACAAAGTTCCTCAGACACCACAAAATGAACAAGAAAAAGAGGATTTAAAGGGTACATGGCAAGTCCCAGAAGCAGCTCATGGTTTTAGCAGCAACCTCACCAAATCAAAAAGAAAAAAAAACAAAGAAAAAAATAAAAAGGAGGACAAGATAGAAAATACATTAAATATCTTTAGGTAATCAGAGATGATTAAGATAGCTATGTGATACAATGTAAATCTTCTTTATAGTCAGCTCCCCCTGTTATCAGAACTGTTTAGCTGGCCTGTGCCAGTGTGCTCCATTCCAATAAACACATTAGACTTGGAAGCCTATTTCTATTCAAGCTTCTACCAAAAGCATTTCCATAAACTTTTACTGAATAACTTTTCTTCATGTGTTTATTTGTTTACAACAAATAAAAGATCTTTTTGATTAAAGTTGACAGTTTTAGCCAAATATTGCACTATGACAGCACTTTTTTTGCTATTCAGCAATCTGACAATGCTATGTTAAATGATTTAAGATCTAAAACCTTAATGTTTTGTGCAAGAAAAAGGCTTCTAGATTAAGTGACAGTGATATATGTAGTTATTAAAACATTGGGGGGAAAAATCTGCAGAAAATATAAATTTAATCAGACAGTTTAATTCACAATGAAACTACTTAGGGCATGGTGATTTTCAGGTAGTGTCACAATATATACTTTGACTAAAAAATAATATATAAACATAAAAGTAAGCCAAAGCTAAGTTAAAACATGGCAAAACAATTAGAACACTCAGTATTCTTTTTGCACCGCTAACAGACTGTCCTACTAACATACGAGAAAGTTGTTTCAGTCTTTCCAGACACAGAAACACATGAATAAAACTTCAGGAAACTCCATGAATTTTGTCAAAATCAGATATTAGTACAATGACTTTCACTCTTAGCTGATGCTAACCAGAATGTTCCTTCAACAGTAAAATCAACCTTTACCTAAAAAGTTATGCCTTGCTTATAAGTTTTTCCTATTTCAGCATTTTATTAGAACGTAGACTGCTCAACATTCCGGGATGTGGCTGTTGAGTCAGGATTGGAGCTCTGTACAGGTAACTTCTCCTGTGTCAGAAGGAACTTCAGAATTACATAGACTCAGCCCTTTAACAGGCTGACAACAAATGAAAAAAATTTTGAGTAGCATTAGGTCACTGATGATTATTCTCATGTAATACATATGCCATATGTAGCACCACATTAAAAAAACCAAACAAAATCCCTCTCAGACTGTGAAAGGGCTGTGCAATTCCATAAGGAAGACAGCACTAACCTCAATATCTAGTTCTACAGGTAGAAAGAACAGATACACTCTCAGATTTTTTACAAATTCACAGTCAACTGTGACAGGTTGTGACTTGCAGTTTCTAAACATTCAAAAAAAATTTCATAATATTTGCACAGTGCCTTGATATTTAATTAGTTTTCAAACTAGATTAGTTTCCATTTCACCTTTAGCTAAGAAGACCTTGTAATTGGCTTGGGAATCAAAGCTATTTATAGAAATTGGTGGATATTCATGTCAACAGATGTGCATTGCATAAATAAACTATGAGATTCAAACAATACCTTTAAATGGCAAAAAAAAATTCTATTTTCCTCATTCAAAAAGTGTGAAATACAGGAAAGACAATATTTTTCCTGATGGTTATTCTCTTACAGATCGAGAAGACTCAGGAGACAATATGGTTACACATATTTTTGGAAATTGCCAGCTCCTCCCCCAGCTACTTAGCTACATTTCTTCTAGTATGCCAAGAATGATATGGAAATTAAAAAATACTAAAATCTGAAATGGCATACAGCAAATAAGCAGTACTAGACCTTACTGAAGTAATTTTTAAATGGCTAAAAAATGGGACTTTTTATGAAACTCTGCTAGCTTCAGAAATCATTGTCATCTCATATTCATATTCTTCCAAAATTAAAATCTCATTTGAGACATGAGGGAAGACCACGAAGGCTCAGTTCTCTGGGGAAGAACAAATTGACATTTTAAAGCACCTCAGCTTAGGGTTGTTGCTTGTGGGTTGTAGTTTTCTACCCAGGTCTTTAGTAATGATCTTTTTCTCTTCTAATTGCTGCTCAGTGCCTTGTTCAACATTTGTATTTCAGGACAAAACTGATTTGTTCACCAAATTTAAAAAGATTCTGCAGCTTGCACATTTAGCAAATTAGTTCAGGAACTTTCCACCCCAGCTTCCTCATCAAAATTCAAAATTCCTTGGAATAAAAAAACCTGTATAAACACTGTAATTTGCCCAGAGAGATTGTAGATGCCCCATCATTGGAAGTGTTCCAAGTGAGACTGGATAGGGCTTTGGAGCAATCTAAAGAGGTGAAGTATGTCCCTGCCCATATGTCCCTCCCTGTGGTGGGAAGGTTGTGACTGGCTGACCTTTAAAGGTGCCTTCCAGCCCAAACCATTCTATGATTTAGTGTGAATTTGTATCACAAATCGAAAAGCACTAACATGAGCTCATAATGCATCATATACTAATTTTAATTTCATATTTGGCTAATACTGACATGTCAATAAATTGATCTGCAATCTTATAAAAAGACTGAGATAATTGTTTTTATCTTGTTTTCCTTCTTTAGCGGTAACACTGTCTCAGAAACTCATAGGCTGACTTGTCTAAGTCTTTTACCTTGAGCCAATCTAACCAAACTTCTATTTCTGACAAAGCAAGACACTGGCACCAAGTCAGTAAAACAACTCTGTATGGACAGTTTTGAATTTATTTTTTTTTTAATCTTTTAGTATAACTGTCTTTTAAGTTAATTTAATTGTAAAACGTATTTTATCAAATGGCAAAACATTCAAAATACAAATATAAATGAGTGACTTCTCTATTATCCATATTCATGATCCTTTGCTTGCTAGGTAAACAGCACTGATAAAAAGAATTGTTTTATTTCAATATTAGTGTAAGAAATAATTTACATAAGCAAATACTTTTTTTTTCTTTCTAGGTTGTACTTACAGATTTGAAGGGACTGAACAGACTGTTTCTAATTTTAGGGATAAAAGAAGACAAGAAAAGAAGTCAACATATATCTGTGAAAAACAATTCCTATGACAAGAATATATATGTATATAAGTCTTGGTGTTTTTTTTACCCCATGGTGTATAATTTTTGCACAATCCTCTGCCATTTTTCCATATATTAAAACACTGATGCTGTTGATCTGGGAACACAAGTTATCCGAATCTACAGGAAAAAAGGCAAAATTGATTCAAATCACTATACCTTCTCCAAAACTAAACAGCAGTGGAAAGAGATTTACAAAACAAGCTGATCAACAGTCTAACACATTTCAGTTAATGTACAAACAGGAAATGTACTAACTACAGGTATGCTGCCCAGAATATTCTTTGTAAGAGGATTAAAATGTGAATGTTGTACACCAGTGTACAATTAAACAAAAATTAAAAAGATTTCCACTTGGTTAATTCAATGTATAGTGTTAGAAAGGAAATATTATGCAGTCACATTAACACAGATCCTATTGTAGAATCTATTATAAATTGAAGATATTCTACGACACAGAAATATTAATTAATAGCCTCCCAGGAGGACTGGAGCAGAAATCATATTGTTATTTTAAGTTTTCTACTTTTTACTGTTAGATGTACAAACTTATGTTTCCATGGAGAATGTGCATAAATTCTCCTCTCCTGAACAGTCACTGAAATCAGCAAGACTCAGGGAGGTTAAGCAGGAGGTTAAGCACCCCTCTGAGAACCCTGGAGCCAGCAGGGAGACTGGCTAGGGTCCCAAGAAATTCAACACCTCTGCTAACACCAGCCACAACTGCAGAAACAGGAAGGATCTGCACACCCCAGGACTGCTGTTCAGGCACAGGAGGCAGCAGACCCCTGACAAATTACCTCCTCCACCTTCCTGACTGGAGGGGATGACAAGCTTAAGGCTGGAAAGGAATGTATTATTTTTTTGCATCATTTATTACATGATGAACAATGCAAAGAGTTCAGATAGAGGACCTATCCTTCAAAGAGCTAATCTAGCTACTGGTATTCAAATACTTGAGTAGTCAGGTGAAATTTCCTTAAGTGCTTAAATTAAAACAGAATGAAACACAAATATTTTGCTGCTAATCAAAATACTGACCTATACTAAATGTGCCCTTGCACAGTATATGCTATATATATATATATATTATGTGGTCACTATTATATGTGCAATTTCCTTGGTCCTTCTTATGATAAGCAGTTTGAAAATACACTGTTAAAGCTATACATATACCTAATACATTTCCAGGACAGTCTTTTAAAAAGTTATGCAACAAGAAGTCTACTGAAATATAAAGACTGCATTGTTTCCGTTAACTCACCTGGCGTAAGTTTATCTTAATTTTTTTTTGTAGAAAATTAATAGTTTTAGAGAGTATTTTAAATCTTACATTCTATTGAACACTATACAAAAGCAGGAACTACTAATGTAATACTATAAATTAAAAATATATATTTAAATGTAGTACCTTGAAGAACAATCTTGAAAAAGTCCGTTCCATCTCTGAGTTTTGTTAATGGATAGGAAAGAGTAACTATTCCCTACAAAGCAAAAAATAAAAGAAAATGTTGTGAACTAAGACTTTATGCCTCTAAGTTACTGAAATGCATGTAACAGCTGAAACATCTGTAAGATAAAGGCAGAATTTAAGGAACAAGCCTAAATTGCCATCTACATTCTTAATAAAAAAACAAAAAACAACTGCTATAGATAGCATTAAAAAGCAACATTCTGGAGATATAACAAAGTATTATATGTCAATACTATTTAAATGCTACAGCTAGATGATAAACTTAAACATAAATAAGATAGTAAAATAAGACAGTAGCTATGGAACTGTACATGCAACTTTTACTACAAAAATAGCAAAAAACGTTAGTTTTAGCACAAAACCTGAAAGACATCTGAAGAGGTAGTGATCAAAATCTTAAAAGATACAGAAATTTCTTCAAAAATATTGGCAAAGGATTACAACATAAATATCAGAATAAAATCACATTCAAAATATAATAGAAGCATATGAAGATATATAATGTTCTGTACAAAAAAAATACAGCTGTGAGAAGAGTACTACAAAGGTTTGAAATGGTCATGTCCTACTTATTAGGCAATAATACAAATGCTCTAAAAGATGCTATGATTTAATGATTAATTCAAAATATTCTTTATATTGTGAAGCTGAAGTTATAATGAAGCAAAAATCAGCAACTTCAGCGATGTTAACATTTCACACCTCTTTAGTAACACTTCTAGTTAGAAATATGGTTATCATCTGCATTACCAAAGATGTCAGTCAAGTGTATTCTTTCACAGCATGACAGATAAAGCACTGTTACCTTCTCAATGATAAAACCAAAAAAAATTGGTTCAATAAAGAAAAATATAAATACTGAAAACAGACTCTGTAAAATGCTTAAAAAAAAGCTAAACAAACAACACAAAAATAGACTAAAAGGTTTCTTGCAAAAAAAGAGCAGGGCAATATATCTATAAATGCAACATTAAGAGGACAGACAGGTAAATTATAGTTTTACTTTAGTAATTTGCTTAAACCAAATCAGGATAAAATATGCAGCAGTGAATTGTTACCCCAGAGGCCTTTCACAGTAAAATTTGTCATACGATGTGCTAACTGAGGAGTAATCCAAATCAAATTCAACAAGATTTTACTATCTCTTATAAAGAAATAATACCAGTCCACAAAACCTCAACATTATTTACAGATGCTGATTTCCAAAATATTTTGGTAATTAAATCTCCTTATAAAACTCATTAGTCTTCTCTGTGAAAAGTAAGAACTTACATGTAAAAACAGAAAGCTTTCTTACCTGTTTTCAAAATTACAGCTTTGTTTAAATTTTCACTCTATATATATATACACACACACACACACACATATATATATTTGTTCCTGCTGAGATTGTTGTGAATTGTAAAGGTAAATAAAATTGTGAACTGTGAATTGTCACAGGTAAATAAAAAACTACAGAATTTTTCTTATAATAAAATCTTTGCAATGAAACAGTCACCTCAGGAACACTCAATGTTTACATATATATTTTTTTCTTAGTAAGAAATTTCAATCTGCACCAGCACACTACTTAAAAGTGGAATTCATCAATGCAATAGTGACTGCTTTTTGACCATCTTTACTTTTTATTTTTCCTTTTACATCCCAGTACCTTCCAAAGTGTTTTCAAATTCTGGGATCACATTCTTTGCTATAATGGTCTGGCCCCTCCACTTTCCTCTGTATCCCAAACACCTAAGCTATAGTTCTCTTTCCCCAGCTACTACCCATTTCCTCACACTGCCCCACTGCCTTCCCCACATGCCTGAATATCTCGAGCTTCAAACTTCAAAAGAACCAACCTTAGCAAAATTTACTCAGATTGACTCTTCCCTAATAAATCTTGCACTGCTTATTGAGTTCAGAAGCAAACTTTCCAAAACACTCCACATGCTGCTAGATGCCCTCTCAAACCAACCACGTACAATTCTTCTACTGCATGTGTCTCCTTCCTGAGAAGGCCTCGCTCCCTCAATTTGGTTCTATAGCTGTTTTGGCATCTTATTTTCAGGTTTGGTTCAGATTTGCCACAGCAAAATCCAGAGGATGATGAACTAATAGGAGAAGGCATCATGTTTAGTTAATGAACATGATGACTTGAAGAGGTACAAATATTGCTTGTGCTGTTTTTCTACCAATTTGAAGTTTGCCGTTTTCAAAGAGGTGCCAGGAAGATAAAAACACACAGAAGAATGAAAGGACTGAGGCACACAAGTCAGACAGAAGGATTCCAAATGTTTTTTGTTGCTTTTGCCAGAACACATTTCATAAAAATCCTCCCCTGCCCTTCCCCCCTTGTCAAAGCAGGACCTGATCCCTGTTTTGGCAGGTCTAGAGTGACAGTGTGCCACCACAAAGATAACCTAACATCAGTGCATTCTAAGGTTCACTTCAAGCTCAGCCTGCAGAACTGGATTTTCCTTCACATTTAATGGTGCATTAGCACCAGCTTTATCAACTCTCAGTCGTGCTGTTTATGCCAAGCTGTTTTAGTCACCTACTAATCCATGTCAGCAGCAGCATGAAGTTCTCTTTACATAAGGCAGAAGCCTGAGAAAGACATTCTACATACTCTTCCCTTCAGAATCAGCTAGAGCACTGCATGTATGCTTTAGATCATAGTCTGGTAGTAATTGCTCTGCTTTCTGAATAGAAATATTTATTTTGGCAGAAAGATTTTCTAACTTATAATGCATTTTTATCTCCTTCACCCCTTTCTTCTGAACAAGTATCCCTGTTCTTCCATGTCAGAGCTGCTTGCAGACATACCTCTTCAAAACAGGAAAGTCTATATATCATACAGGTGAACAGGGACAGAAAACTACACCCTGAGGAACAAACCCTGTTTGCTAGCAGCAATGGTTATTGATGTTTCCATTTGTTCCTTTACAAGACCTGAGGGAGGCTCATTCTCAATCAAATCACCTCCTACACCACTCAACTGCTGCCTGCTGCCAGACAGGGTAGTTCTGCTCCTTCGCTACACCGAAGCACACCACTCTTGGCATCCATTTGACACCAGAAGGAACCAGTGCAGAGTGAGAGCAGCAGAAAATTATCCTTTCTCCAGCAATAAGGACAGTCTTCTGAAAGCTTCCTTCTCATGAATGGCCTCGATCACAGGGTCACATAAGCACTAGAGTTGGAACTGAGAATACACAGCTGTGGTAGCAAAAGTGCTTTTTCGGATACAGAAATACATTAGATCAGTTCAGCTCATATTTTTAAAACGCTTATGCCATTTTTTTAAGGATTCAAGACAACTTAGGTTTTCTACAGAACCAGATTGCTTTAACTTTTCCCCTTTTTTCTTTTTAATTAACAGATTGAAAGAAAGCCTGAATTAATGCTGATATCCTGACATATAAGCATCAGTGATGCCTAAAATGATTCTCAGTCACAGACAAAAAAAAAGTTAAACAGGATAAAAAAAGAACACACTCAAGAATTGACACTGCATTTTACTGAGAACACTTGTTTTAAGCATGGAAAAGGTTGTTTCTGCATTTCACTAGTATTGCAGGATTGTACTTCCAATCCGAAATATATTTAAGATTACTGTCAAATGTAAGTGCACACTTCGTAATTATAAAAAACCTAATTGTGCCTTGATGCTGGTAGTTGCTACAAACATTTTTTATAAAACTGGATATTGCATCATTTCATACAAAAGGAAAACTACTTTAGAAGTTTTTTAGTTACTCTGAAATCAGTTATTCTCAATTCACTTACTCTGATCTTTCACAGGATTGAAGTGCTTATTACGGGTTTTTTTTATACCAAAATACCACTTAACCTCCCACAATCCCTCCATTTTAAGAAATGCATTCTGCATATTAATGTGTTTTAAATTGGTCCACAGCTTATAAACTCTGAAAAGAGAAACTCCTACAAAATTTTAGTCTGATAACGTAAGAGAAAGGGACAGGACTGTGAATCAATGAAGGTAAAAGCAACATGAAATGAGGTTCAAAATGGTCATAATTTTCCACTGCTAAAAGATATGCAACAGATGAACACAAAGACACACAAGTTGCAGAAGGTCACCAACTGAGCTGGAATACAAAAGTGCATTGCTAATGTTAAGAGGAGCTATTTCAAAGCTAGACAAAATTTTTTTACTGGTCAGTTTACCTGAATGTATTTGTTGGTGTGATCACGGCCTTCTTGCAAATGTTGCAAATTCTCCTTCTGCAAATGGCTTGGTAGTGGAATCTCAGACTGTCCTTTAATGATTTTCAGCAACTGAACAGGCATAGCTGCTTTATCTAAACAAAAATCATAAAAAGAGTCCTGAAGCTCCTTCTTTTGTTCTAATGAAGAGTTACTAGAAGTTGCACCTCAGTCAGAAGGGGACTATTTTCCTATTTCATAACAAGACAGTTTAATTATGTAAAACTATTTCAGGGGGATTGGGCTCATCTCTTAGTATCATAAGAAGCAAGAAGAAAGTAACATTTCCTCGAAAATAGACTGCCATCCAAATTACTTGATTTTTCAAACATTCCAAAACACCATAAATGACAATATTTATTTACATATAAATAAATAGAAATGCATATAAATGCAAAGAGTAATGTAAACAGTGTTAATATTTTATGTAGAAATGCAGATAAAAACCATGCAAAGGCTTTGAATAACTCCTTCCCCAGCACAAGGTCAAAGACAGTCTCCATAAATAGCTTCTTCCCTAGAAGAAAATTCGACTGCAAGAAATTAAAACATCTGTCATTTTAACTTAAAATGAACAAAAGATGCTTATGTACAGATCACAAAATTTTCATCAATGAATCAAGTAATGAAACAAATAATAATAAAAAAATAAGATGGGTATCTACAGATTCCAAGCATGGAAGGCACTCGGAATAAGATAAGGAATGTATGACTGTGTCATCTATGGTCTGCCCTCATTGTGCTAAAAGTCAATGAAATAAATTAGTAGTGACAGTGTTATAATGCTGAGTATAGGGGAGAGCTTCAAAGAGTAATCTATTGCAGTGAAGTTACACATAATAGAAAAAAGTGATCTAGCAATGAGAAGCTATTGGCGTATTTTCTTATTACATTGTCATCTCATTTCTTCTGGGGGTATCTTTGTCTTTACAGTACAATTTTTATTTCAAGTGGGTATCTACAGAACAGCCACAACATTATCAATCTTCTGTTTCCAGTAAGTTTTAATAAACTAAGCAAAAAAATGCTTTCTGTTTTCTGAAAATCCAGATGGCAGCATTATTGCCACAGCTTTAATTTCAAACAGTTTAGCAATTCTTATATGATAGTAAAGAACAGGAAAGAAAATATTTTCTGTAGTTTTGAACGGACACAAAAACTTGGCATTCTACTCAGTAAAAGCTTAAACTACATTCAGTTATAGCTCAAAAGAACTTTTGCAGTGCTAAGCAGACTGAATTCCCAAAAAATATTCAGTGATAATGAAATGGAATTGGGAAACCACTGCAAAATGGAAAGACCAGTGAAGACTTTCTCTTATGACCATCATAAGTTACAAACATAAGTCAGCACATAGAGGTGCAGAGTGCAAAATTATGCACATTCTTTTAAAAAGTGCATTATTCTTCAGAAAATTCAAAAATCTACCTTACTGTTACTCCAGTATCCAAAGATACCAGACTTCACTATTAACTCATGACTGTTTCTCTGGCTGTTAGCAACCCTTCTTTCTCCTTCCCCATTTTCTGGGAAACACCCCCCCAGTGCTGTTATTCTTGTCTAGCAGATATAAGCAAGAAGTCACAGTCACTCATGACATATCAATATTTTGGTTTGAGGATGTCTCAGTTGCAATGGCACACACAGGATGGCTATCTTGTTTTTTCCTAGCTTCCAATTTACATGAGGAGGAAGAAAGCAGAAATGAAGCATTATGAACTGACCACAATCCTCATTCTCTATCCCCTGCACAGCTCAGGGAGAGAAACTGGTAGAGAAATTGGAGTGGAGCTAAGCCCAGAAAATAGGAGAGGTGAGGGAAAGGTCTTTAGACTTGTTATTATTTATCATTATCCCACCCTGATTTGATGACCAGCAAGTTAAATTCCTTTGAGTCTCTTTTGTCCACGTAAATGGTGAGTGATCTCCCCATCTCAACCTGCAAGCTTTTAGTTGTATTTTCTCTTCCCTGTCCTCCTGGGGGGAATGATAAGAGTGGCTTTGGCAGGCATCTGGCTTCCAGCCAGGGTCAACCTATGACAGCACAGAGCTGAGATGTACAGCACCAGACAGGTTCCAATTTCTGCCTGTTTCAGTAGAAGTAAAAGCCTGCTACAAAGGTGCAGATGCTGTTCCTGCTTTGATTAGTGAGGTATTAGAAGTTAGGATTTCTGCAAGACATTACTAAATGAGCCTAAAAACGATGCCTTTGTCTGTATGTTTTCAAACATGCACCAAACCACAAGAGCATTGTCATTAGCCTACTAGGATTTCAAGTCTCTAGTGAAAAGAGCAACTAGAAGATTTACACAGCTTTTCAGTTCAAAGTATCTACTTCACACTTTATTCTAGCAGACTGAGAAGCTGATCTATTCCACCTAGAAAGAGTCAACTTCAAAGTTAATCAACAACTGTTGTTAAACAACAGTATAATGAGCCATATATATATACAATACAACATAACAGATTAACATTTTTTTATGTTGTTTCTCTCTGTTACATTACTTAGCAGTTAAAAATAGTTTTTTCTGTTTATTTTCCCCATGATGATGTCTTAAGAACACAGAGCATTATATTTTAATAACAAAATTATATTTTGTTGTAATTTGAATTTATGTGAATAACATTCTAGTAGAAAACAAGTGGGGTGTTTTTACAGATCTTAAACTCCTATATATATATAAAACTAAGGTCATGTGTTCTAACTGCTAATCTCTGCAGCTTTCAGATTCTTGTTCTCAGCAATTAAAAACCAAAGATATGAGTATCCAGTTCTAAGAGTTATAAAAGTAAATTTTCCAAAACAAACTGATAGAGCACTGGCTCACAAAATCTACATGAAGATATTGTTAGGGCTGTCCTTGGTGTCCCCAACTCTTCTGGAGAGCAGCTAAGTGAAAATGAGTGTCAAATACCTTTGTTGCTCTCAAAAGCCTGACTAACACTGACAGGAATCATTCCAACTTGAGCCTAAGGCCTAAGGAGCCCGTAAATGGTGTAAAGAGAGATGCATAAAGATGGATACTGAAAAAAAACCCAAACAAAAACAACAGAGACTGCAGAAAAGGCAGACAGCAGCATGGGACACTCCTTGAAGAAGAGTGACACAACACATACACACAGCAGGAAGAAGACTGAACTAGAAATACCTTTTGCCTTCCAGTAATTAAAGTGACAAAAATATGGAGAGTGAGCAACCAGAGAGCTTAACAATTTTAACAAAGAATTATATGAAAGAATGTAGACTGTTTAAAGTAGACTATATACTGTATATGGGATGTAACTCACAGTTTAACACCCCCAAAGAGAATGCAATATGCATCACTCAAGTGAAATGTAACACTGAGGACTGCTATGGTCTTAACTCTTATGGGCTGCTCTGCCCTATCCTTGATGTTCTAGAAAATTTAATCCTTTCCCTGCTACCAAGAAATACTTCAGTCATACACAAAAATTCCATGAAGAGAATAATGTCATTTTGGGAAACCAAAGAGAATAAAACACATGACTTTGTGGACTTCTGAAGGAAACTTCACCGAAGTCTCACGAAGAACGAAGGAATAGCCAAGAGCATCAGCATCTTGCTAACGTGGTAAGTCACAGTGGTAGGTACTTGAAGTCCCTGTAAACATAAATACTAGTCCGTGCAATATTCAGGCTAACTGTGCAAAAGTTAAAATAATTATGAAATAAGTCATGTTTCATTAGAAAAACGCACATACTTGTAGACACAGCCATACATTCTTGCTATATTTTATGCAACGTTTGCCATAAAAATAATGATTTGCAGCTTGAGCAGAATAGGCAGTACAGACTACCACAAACCCAACCTGCCATCACAAGACAAAGCTTTTGTCACATAGCAGTCTTAATGAAATCAAGACCATCAGCGAACAAAGCGTGTAGTCTGGCTAGACTTTTTTCAAAGGTCTAATTTTGTAATTTATTAGTTGAGAATTCTCATGAGGTGAAAACATCATGTCAGATTAACTGAAATAGAAGGAGAAATCAAGTCAGTACCGTGACACATCTTATTGCCCTGGCTGCAAGGCTTCACCTTGCTCTTGCTGCAGATCTTCGGGCAACAAGTGATACTTAGTTTCATTAGAGTACAACTAGGTTTCCTAAGGAAACAAAATTTATTTCAGATTAAAATTTACTCATCTGACATTGTCAATAGACTACAATCAAACATTACCTGAGGAAAAGGGATTCTCACACAGTCATTAATATCTCAACTCTAGTACTTCATCTCTAGAAAGCAGCAACACACTGAAAAGTAGCGGCCTCAGGAGGACAGGGCTACTCTGCAGATCCCACACGTCACACGGTATTAATTAATCGCTTCAGAAAGTGAATCCACCAGTTACAAGAAGCCAAGACTCTTAAAACCGAGACCATCAGCACAGGCGTATTACCAACAAAACTCCCCTTTCGGTTTACTCAGTGCCCGGAAAGAACTTCCAAAGCCGTGGAGCCCGTGTGCAGGGCAGCTGCGGGACGGAGGGAGGTACAGCCGGGCCCGCAG